CTGGAAGACCAAGTGGGCCCAGTCGGAGTTTCCTCATTACACATTCATTCTGTGTCGGCTCGGCCTCCATTGAAGCCTGTCAGGTATGGCCCAGGAAGCCAAGTGGTTGAAGAAGCATCAAAAGTCGTGTGAGACCTCGGTCGACTCGGCATTTTCAGAAGCCTGCCCAACAAGATTGCAACACACGCGGAACATGCACCTGCGAAGACTGGCCTTCGTTTCGCCGCAACACTTCCGTGGCCTGCCAGCGCATTCTGCTCAACATCGTGTCAAGCCGTAAGGACCCGCCAACCGAAACCGTGGAAGCCGCTCAACAACAAACCAGGCGCAAAGAAGTCGCTTGGTGCGGACTCTCCCCACTACGAGTGAAACTACTACTACTACTACTACGACGATGACGACGACGATTACTACTACTACTACTACTACTACTACTACTACTACAAGTGCTCCTGTGGTTGAGATCTTTTTTGATCCGGTTTGATTTTTGCTTGGATTCGTCACCCCTGTTTTTTTCGTGAGACCGGGTGCATAAGTGTTATGTTGCATGTTTTTTGATCCTGTTCTTTAAACCTCGTGGCTTCGTTTCTTCTCATCCACAAGTGATTTTGATCCGTCACTCCGGTTTAGACGCTGCATGGTTTCGCACCGTGGTTGTATTGAAGTCAGTTTACTGGAGGTGCCATCTTGACAGTCTGACGACCTTTGCGTGTGGGCTCCAGATTGTAGTCAAACATTGCAGCATAGGTTGTGTGTTCGCAAGATCTTGCTGAAACAGGCATGTTGCAAAGTTTCTTCGCGAGACACATTTCCAGCGGATAGGGCACGTCACTGATGCATCGTAATGCAACAACTCTTTCGCTGCTGCGTCCCCATCATGTCCAGGCTGTCATGCGTCCTGTGACGGATCAATCTTCTTGTTGGCTGCTTGGCTGTGAACTTTGGCAGGTGATAGGAACTGAAGGCTATGTCATCGGACTCCCAGATTGCGCAGGCCGGGTCAAGCAAGATGCCAACCTGTTGTCTTGAACAACCGATGTTGGCAGGCTTGTTCAAAGCGATGCGGTGCCAAAATTGTTTACGTCGATCTCGTCAGCTTGCAATTCGAGGACGTCCGGTAGCATCAGGCTACCAAAAGTTCGCGCGAGTTGCGAGCATGAACGTCAGGAAGAAGTAGAAGACGATGCCCTCGAAGATGAGAAAGCTCCCGCCGGTGCAGCAGGACTCTCTGCTTGATCAGAATCGGCCTGACACGCAATTGCAGCCAGGACCAAAATTCGGTTCTTCCAGAAGGGTGTACATCTGTGTTGGGCAGCCGTTTGCCAAGAGCAGTTTTTGTGTTGGAATGTCAGAGTGTGACCCATATCGGGTCCGAACCGGTCACACCCGAAGGTCGTGCATCTTCTTGCTGAGAGCCAGCATGCAGCCTCCCAAGAACGTGAGATGCAAGACGACAGCTGGTCGTACTCGCATTTTCTGAGGTCTCAGAAGTTGAAAGCATACGACGGTCAGATCGACTACGTCTGGATGGAAAAGATTGTGCAGGACACGAGCAGCAGGTGAAGATCTAGGGTGTTTGCAGAGCACAGTGGGCGGATATGTGTCACGTAGCGATGACGTTGGAGGTCTCGATTTCTCTTGGCCTTGAACGAGAAGCGGCCCAAGGCGGGGACGCGGGTTCGTTTTAAGGCGCTCGGGAGAGCGGCCGGCAGCCGCAGCTCGCCTTGCGCTCTGAGGGATCTCCGTCTCAGTTCATCGTTGACACGGACAATCGCGATGGCTTGCTGACCTTGATCTGCACGAACTATGTCTCGGCCAAGCTCCCAGTCCAAGAATTTCCGAAGACGCTTCCTGTATCCTCCCCCCGCCAGGATTGCATTCAAGATCTCGGGAGTTTGAATACCCTACCCTTCGTGCAGCACAGCTTGGCCACAAGCCCTGCGCCAAGCCGCAGCTCACTCAGCTCGAAGCGCATTGTTTGTTCAGCATTCCAGCTCTCTTGGCAAAGCTGGCAGGAGTCGCAGCTCCAAAGGGCTTCAAGATGATGGAGTTTCGCGGCTACACCTTCTTCATAAGGTGGAGTGGCTGCTGGCAGGGTTTTGAGGTGTCGCTGGCTATCGCTTCGGAGGCAAAGTTTCAAAGAGCAGCCAAGCAAGATCTCCAAAGTCTCTACGGGGCACTTCAAGGCCTCTGAGGGAGATTTGAATCTGGGGGAGAGGTCTGCGGCCAAGAGGGGGGGGGGGCCCCAAACAGAGCGGATCTGTGAAGGGGTCCCGTCTCAGGTCCTGGGGATGGTCGCGGCAAGGCCGCGACGAAAAATTTTCCGCGTCCCGCAGTCAGAGGTGTCGGCTTTTGAGCTTTAAACCTGCCAGCGAAGGCGAGGTGGAGCTCTTTGTGAACGTGGTTGATCCGTGCGGGCCTTGAAGTTAGCCGGCCCCTGCCGTGCTGCGCCCTGCACACCCTGATCAGAGGATCCCGTTGTCGGAGTTGATACCCCTCGGCCGCGAGCACGTCCGATGGGTGGCAATGGAATGCAAAGCCTCCTTGTTGAAGCAGGAAACCAAGACGATTGTAGATCCAAGGTTCTTCTGAGCTTGTCCTGCTAAAGGTCATGGGATTCCGTGGTTTTGCAGAATTCTCCGTACACGAAGAAGATGACGGGGGCTTATGGCACTGTCCTGGACTGTGACTGTTCTTCCGAGACTCCATGCTATGCTGGCCCAGGAACCTCGCCAATGTGGGGCTCCAAGTGGACTGAGGGTTCTTCTTCTCCGTCTGCGCTTGATCCTTCAGGACATAGCGGCATGGAGTTGCTGGCGGCTCGCAGTGCGGGACAGTGCGGCCTGGGGGCGCACGCGGGGGCGCACGGGGGGGGGCCCGGTACTTTGGTCGTTTTGGAACGCAGGACCAGGAAGACAGCTGGGCCATCCTGGTGCTCAGGCCTCTGCGGATCTCTGCGGCCTGCGGCTGTGACCACTCGCTTTTTGCCTTGATTTCTGCAGATCGGATCGTGGCTCTGAAGCCTTCGAAGCCAGTTGTCCGAGTTTTCTACAATAACAGGGAAGACAGGTCTGAGAGTGTTAGAAGAGTATTGGGCATGGGGTCCGATGGCGGCTGTGAAGGAGAGTGCCTGCAGCTCGCTGAGCCACGTTGGCCAGATTCTCTTCGAGTACCTTTCGGAGCTGAGCCGAACCGAGCTGGATTTGTTGTACGCGGATGCTCCGTCGGTTCGCGTGATCTTCAGGGAGGCGGTGCCCCCCGTGGCCCAGCAGCTGGTCATGAGGCTCCTGCTCGGCGGCGCGCGGCCCTTCCAGGAGTCCGTGCTGAAGCGCTGGTGCGCCACCTTGTCGGCCCTGCCGGACACCGCCTACCTCAGTGTCCTACAGCGCCTTCAGATCCTGCTCCCACAGAAAGCTCAAAAGCCCGGACAAGCTCCGCCCGGACAGCTTCTCATGCTCCACAAGACGTTTCAAAGTAGCCTATCTGCGTACTTGCAAGGTGCCCAAGAAGGCCAATTGCTGAGAGAGCCGACCTGTCCTGGTTCGAGCTCCAAGGATGCGGATGTGTTACTGCGGTATGCGCTTGCCTCCTGGGAGAGCTTCCTGGGAGAGTTGTTGGATCCGGGCTCCCAGTCGCTGCTTGCAGACTTGGCGTCGGTCTTGAACTTCAAGGATGGGTCTGGAGGCCTGACGGCGGCAGGATTCCAGTTCGTGCTGGACGAGCGCCAGCAGCAGCTCTGGCGCTTGGTGATCTCTTTCCTCAAGAAGGATGGGGCCGCCGAAACCGGGGCCGATGGCAGGCAGCGCGCGTTGCAGGCGCTGCTTGCGATCGGTGAGCTCGGCCTGGGTGAGCGCCTCGCTTCGAGTGCTCCAAGGCCGTTCCTTCGATTCCTTGTGGATCTCGGAGTGCTCTACGAGGCCGGCGAGGCCGGTACCGGCGAGGCCGGTGCCGGTACAGGGAGCTTGTTGATCACGCCCGCCGCGCTGGCGCTCTTTCGAAGGGATGTGAGCCAGAGGCTCTCCCGCAGCGCCGGTAGTGAGGCAGGGGAGTCACAGGGCCTCATCGTCGAGAGCAACTTCAAAGTATACGGTTACATCTCGAGTCCTCTCCAGGCCCTCCTCCTCGGACACTTCTGCGAAATCTTGGTGAGGTTACCCAACCTTGTGGTGGGCCAGCTAACGGCCGAATCAGTCCTGAAGGCCATGAGCCAAGGCATCCGTGCAGCGCACATGCTCCGCTACCTGGAGGCCGCCGCCCACCCGCAGCAGCGACTGCGCGAGGGCGAAAGCGGCGAAGGCTCCGTGCCCTCCAACGTCTGCGGCCAGCTCGAGGCGCCGAAACCGCCGAAGCCTTTCAGGGCGCAGGGGATGTGACCGACTGGGACTGGGTCCCACGATCCCACCCTCCTCTCTCTTCACTTGCGCAGGTCTGGGAGTCCAGTCGATCCCGGGCCGCGTCCTCGTCGGCGGTGCTCTTCGAGTGGAGCGCGGAGGACTGCGAGGACACGTTCGAAGAGGCCAAGAAGCTGGCCCAGGCTCAAGGACGGAACGGAGCAGAAAGACTTCGAGTGCTCAGAGGGTGCGTTCGCTGCTGTGTTTCTTTAGCAGTCGGACGTCTCTGTGATGTGAGAGGAGCGCTGCTGTGGTCTCGAGGAAGGGAAGCGGATCGAGCGCCCATGCTGGTGGTGCGCCCAGAGGCTGCAGCACGGCTTCGAGAGCTCCTTGGGGTTTCGGCGCCGAAGCCGCCGAATCCGCCCAATCCAGTGCAACCGGCGAAGACGCCCTCCGCCTTTGCACGGAGCTTGAATCCGAGCAAGCGGCTGAAGCTGGAGAAAGACCTCTGAGCTGAGCCGGAGCGGCGAGCCACTGCGGTTGCACCGGCAAGAGCGATGATGCTCCACACTCTCATAAAAAGAAGCAGCCGCTGCAAGATGCTGCAAGGCTTGAAGACGGATCAAAGTTGATGTAAACAGCAGGCGGCAGTATCTGCCTCCGATGATGGACGTCGTGCAGGAGCCCGGCTCCTCCATAAGTGTGCAAGAACTCGAGCTAAGACGATTGACCACCTTAGTTGGTGCAGGATTTCATCCTTGCCATGAAGTGCCCGAGCAAGTCTGTGAGCGCAGAGGTGGTCCAGGCTGCCCGAGTCTGCCCTTTGCTGCCGTCTTCTCGACATCAGGGAGCGAGAGAGAGTTCAGTCGGCATGGGAGTACCCAATATATAGTATGCATATACAATAATGCATATACGTACAACAGAATGTTTGATGGATAATCTCGCGCTTTCCTGTCACAGTGATAAAGCATCCTGCTTCGCATAGGCCTGCTGTGTTCGGAGCAGTCGTGAAGACATGAGCAGCACACCAGTTGCATGATTAAATGGTTTTCCATCGCCGTCGTCAGGGGAAGCTCCTGAACGAGGTTGCCTTCATTGCCGACAGTTTCAGCCCGGCCCCACATCCGAACCTGAATGCCGACATCGTCCAGGAGCAATGAGAGACAGCGAGGGAGATTCCAGGAAGAAGAAGGGCTCACAAACGTTTATCCGTTATCCTAATGCTGGAAAAGGAAAACGAAGAACAGGAAGCGGTTAGCAGAAAACGGGGAATAGATCTCGGAGCTAGACATGTATGCAAAGAGGTGCCATGAAGCTGTCGGCGCGAGAGGCCAAGCTCGACGCGCTTCTCTACGACTCCGAAGCTTATGCCTGGATCCACAATCGGTGTCGGACCAAGTTCACAGGATTGCAACCCGCTCATTTCCATGCCATTGAATCGTATGTAGGTTCAAGCTGCAGCCACACGGGCCGGTTGATGTAGAAAAGCACGCAACCATCTTCGTCAAGGCTTGTCATGAGTGCTTTCTGGTCTGAATATCTCACATTGAAGATGTGTTTTTGTTCTGTTGAACAGGGCGTGGTGAAGAGTCTCTACAACGAGCACGTGCTCTCCTCAATAGAGGTCCTCGAGGCCAGGGCTGCAAGGACGAATCCTTTTCTCCAGAGATCTCCGGAAGTGTTCTCAGAGGAAATCTCGAGTCGGACCGAAGAGAATTGCACCCTGGCCGAAGCTGCCGCTCGGCTCTTTCGGGCTATCTCTGCCTCTGCTTTCTTCAGGGACCTTCTGCACTGCCCAGGACCTGGAGCCCCTGACGGTGGCGCTGAAGCTGCTGAGCCACCCGGGCCAGGGCCTTCCGAGGCCTTGGCCCTGTCTGTTCCCCCGAAACGCCACTCTTCTGCTCTTCTGGCAAGTGCCCCCTCCCTGTGCCACTGCCGAGAGGACCGCCGCCAGCTCCTCTTGCCGTGCCCACAGACTGTGTCACCGACATATGTCTGTATAGACATATATCTGTACATACATACATGCATACGCGTTTCTGTTAATGTTTATGTTTATGCTTATGTTTTTGTTTGTGTTTATGTTAATGCTTATGCTTACGTGTATGCATATGTGTATGGGTATGTGTATGTGTCATGTATGTATGTAGGTAGGTAGGTAGGTAGGTAGGTAGGTAGGTAGGTATGTTTGTGTGTATGTTTATATACACACATAGTTTATATATACATACATACATACATACATACATAAATTACATACAAAACAATGCATACATAAATACAATACATACATACATACATACATACATACATGCAGACATACATGTTTATGTTTATGCTTATGTTTTTGTTTATGTTTGTGTTTGTGTTTCTGCTTGTGCTTATGCTATGCCTATGATTATGTGTATGTGTATGTGTATGTGTATATGCATGTACGTATGTATGCATGCATGCAAGTATGTATGTATGTATGTATGTATGTAATGATGTAATTAATGAATGTATGTATGTATGTATGTATGTAGGTAGGTAGGTAGGTAGGTAGGTAGGTAGGTAGGTAGGTATGTATGTATGTAAGTATACAAGTATATGTGCGTGTACGCATATCTGCTAATAATTCAATAGATGTGCGTATGTACATGTATATATATATATATNNTATATATGTGTGTATATATGTATGTAAAAGCATACAAGCATAGAGTTTTTATACACATACACATACGAGTGCTATACATGTCCATCTCTCCACTTTTGCTCTGTGAGATGTCGAGCACATCTTCGATGTGCTCCCGGCTCTGGCCAGCCAGCCTCGGCTCAAGAGAGAGGGAACCACGACAATTGGGCACCCGAGAAGCAAGGCTAAGGCGTGCGCGGCCGCGTTGCATCGCTTTGCTTCAAACCCTTTTGGAGTGCTTTCCGCGCTTTTGGGAGGCTTGAAAAGATGAGCCTCCCACCAATGCCCGATGCTGCCCACAACTCAGACTCCCCCAGAAACAGACCTCGAAGCCCGCTTGTGATCTGCGTCTTGCCCTCTTCGGATCTCTCAGGTGCTCAACAGCGGCACTCCAGAGGGGACGGCCTCGACACTGACGCTTACCGAAGATGCATGGGACTTGCTGGGTCTGAGCGCATCCGATGCCATGAACGACCGAGACATGCACATCAAGAACGGTCAGGTGTGCCTTTTGACAGGTGGAGATTACATGAATGCAAAGAGGAGGTATGCTTTGGACAACCGCGAAGCACAAAGGGCACAGTGGCGACAGCAAGCAGAGCAGCGATTGGCCAAGGCGGGAGCGGGAGAAGCGGAAGCAGCAGCTTGCATCCCCTCTCTCTCTCTCTCGCTATTTCTTTCTCCCGCTCGCTTTTTTTTTTTTTTTTTTTTNNCTCTCTCTCTCTCTGTCTCTCTGTATTTCTCTCTCTCTCTCTCTGTCTCTCTGTATTTCTCTCTCTCTCTCTCTTTCTCTATTTCTGTCTTTATCTCTCTCTCGCTATTTCTTTCTCTTTTTCTCTCTCTTTCTCCATTTCTCTCTTTGTCTCTCTCGCCCTCGCCCTCGCCCTCGCCCTCGCCCTCGCCCTCGCCCTCGCCCTCGCCCTCGCCCTCGCCCTCGCCCTCGCCCTCGCGCTCCCTTGCGCTCCCTCGCGCTCTCTCTCTCTCTCTCTCTGTGTCTTTCTTTCTTTGTTCAGGAAGAAGGGGAAAGAAAGGGGGACGAGGGGACGGGGGTTTTTCGAGAGGCCGATGCGCGACGTGGTGGCCTGGACAAGGCTGCAGCCGAGGGCGGCGTGATGAAAACTGCGAAGTTCACCTGGAGCAAAGACGGGGCGAAGTCCTTTGAGTGGCGGAAGATCTACCACGCCTTGGTGGGCAATGTGGGCCCGGGGGAAGGTGGCTTGCTCGCAGAGGCACTGATCACCCCGACCTCCATGCGGAATCTCAGCTGATATGGTAGTAGAGGTCTGCAGTTCGTCAGCCGAGGGGAACGTCTCGATTCTTGCTTCTGCTGAGGATGTACACTGACCACCGCGTCATGGGCCAGGTGGTCTTGCCAGGAGTCTCGCACGTGTCTCTTATGGCCGCAACAGCATCTCAGGGATTCCCAAACCCCGGTGGCGGATTGGGTGATTGGCACATCAGCGTCAAGGAGGTTCTCTTCGAGCGGCCTTACATCGTCCACTCCGGTGCTGAGCTCATCGCAGCCATCGCTAATGGTGTGGATCCCTCGACCGTTCAGGCCATGGCTGGTGGACTTCCGATCCCGATGACACCTGTGGGTGTGCCAACCACATACTGTCGCGCGACGAATGTGACAAAGGAGCGTGGCATTGTCAAGTCTACGCTGGACTGGGCCAAGTAGAATGTGAGATCGCTGGCCGTGAAGCTCGCTGAGGGTTGGAGACGAAGTATGATGGGCTGGTTCTTCCTGTGGCACACTGAAAGCGGGCCAGCGATTTGCAGATCAGATAGTGGCCTCAAGCGACGAAAATGAGATTCACATGCTCACTTGATGATTGCCAATTGCCAGTTGCGCTCCACGCGCTCCACATGTCAAAGCATGCAGATTGTGTCCTTGAGGCATACACGCCTGGCAAGCTCGCGTGGCTCATTACTTGGCACACAGGCTGGATGGCTCGATGTTGGGTCCGCTCCTGAACTGAGGTCACACAATTCACACAGATGTAGCAGCATTTTAGCATACTGCTGCCAAGGTTCCAGCGTGACCCTGACAGATCTCATCCAGGGTGTGAACGCTGCCGGGGTTTCCAAGGCAACCTCCTTCTGTTGTCGTCCCTTGTCGTGTCGTTTCTGCATGAGAGGAGACGTCGGAAGTTTTTGAGGACATTCTGCCGGGGGCTTTCAGGTTCTACGTCTATGCGAAGCGCATCTCTTTTGCATTTCAGGGCGTTTCTGCTGCATTTGCGACCTTGCAACCTTCAAGCTCCCTGGGAGCTCAAGGCAAGGCCCCGCCCGTTCGGCGACCCTCGCCCCCTCTTTCTTTTTTTAATGCTTTTTTTGTCTGCGCACGTTTGTGGCCACGGCCATGGAGTCTCGGGCTGCGGGAGGCCATCAAAAGCCAGCTGACCGCCACCGGACTGCTCCGCACCCATCCTCTCGTTTCTTTTGTTGAGGCGGCGTGGCCGGGCATGACGGCTCTCCCGTTTGAACCCTTCTCAGGCTTGCGACGCCTCGTGTGTGCCTCGGGTATATGGAGATGTTCAGAGCACCAGAGACCCATAGAGACCCGAAGACGAGGCGCGGGCGATGGAAAGGAGGTTGTGAAGGCCAGCCCACCAGCACGTCCTTGAGGCCTTGAGGCGTCTGTGGGGTTATTCCGTCGGCAGGTGACTTGCACCTTCACCGACAAGGTCATGCAGGCGCTTCAAGATCGACTCATTGGCACCCGGAATTAGGTTCTGGCGGCTTCCAGGCGTTGCTCGAAACTGGGCACCTGCGCGCAGACCTGGAAGACCTGGACCTAGGCGGAAGACAACCGAGCGGAGCAAAGCCATTCGGGGTCATTTAAGCAAAGCCTGTCAGGCGAGGGTTGCATGAGCATGGAGTATGCCGCCCTTCTTGCGTCTTCCCGGCTCGCAAAGCCCCCAGCCTTTCCTTTTCTTCGTTTTCCCGATCTCAGGAACCTCCTCTGCTGCGAGACCTCCTCGACCAACCTGAAGGCCAAGAGCCGCCCTTGCCGCTGCGTGGGGCCGTTCCTCAGCAGCTCCTGGCCAGGCTTGTGTTTGCAGGATGATCATCGCCGACGAGGACCTCGGACCTCCCCCCAAGGTTATATGAGTTCATGCGCCCCCTGAGTTTTCACCCCCTGATTTCGCCTTGGGGCGCAGAGGACATCGGCCAGAACGGCCAGGCCACCGTCTTGGCGGATGGGCTCATGCAGCTGCTCTGGAGAGGCGAAACTCCGAAGGGAGCGGAGCGACGGGGAGCGGAGGCCCCTGACAGATAGAGCGTGGCTTGCTGCTCACAGCAGGCGCGCCCTTCCTGGTGACCTACGCCTGTGCGGCGTTGGTGAACCTCTGCCAGGGCCATGAAGCCGCCGCCTGAGCCGAATGGTCCCTTCACCTCGGGCTCCCCGCGCGCTTCTGTCTCAGTGAGGTTGTTCGAAGTCATCTCATTCACAACGACATCATCCCGCTCTGCAAGCATAACATAAGGTCACGGCAGAGTGCTACTTTGTCTGTGTGTGTGTGTGTGCCGCCCTTTGTCAACAAAATGAATAGGTTTTTCGTTGTTGCAGGGGGACTTAGCACTCCGTGGCTAGGTCACAGAGTGGGATACTGCACCCGGGCATGCAGCGGAGCTGAAAGAATGGCTAGGTGCTAAGCCGAGAACCCCAGTGATGTAACAAACTTTAGTTACTCCTTCCTGAGAGTTTACCAAAGTGTGTGTGCGTATATATACATATATATATATATATATATATATATATATATATAATGCTAGCTCCCCCAAGGACCAACTTTGAATTCCCTAAATGGACTATTTCCTTAAATTTCCTAAATTCCCTAATTCCCTACCCCATGTGTTGGATTTAGGGAATTCCCTATGGGGGTAAGAATTTGGGAATTTAGGGAATTTTGGGCATTTCGGGGAATTCGGGAAATGCCTAAATCCAACACATGGGGTAGGGAATTAGGGAATTTAGGGAACTAGCGTGTTCTGGAGGATTGATCAAGTAAATCAATTGATTTAGGAGAATAATGTTACTTAAATCCTTAAACCCAATACTTGAAGTAATGAATGCAGACATTCCTACAAAACTAAGTGTAACGAATGGCTGCAGGTATCTCGGCGAGATTTGCCGACTGGCGGTGCTGGGCAATGTTCATCATATTTATATTACTTCGTATGCTACTCACACAGACAGAAGCCCATAATCAGTGATCGAGACAGACATGGGTGTGCGTCCTTTCTAAAGTCATAATGATATCGCATGCATACATTTTGGGTGTCTGCATGAAGCTCTTAGGATATTCGTGTGCGGACGTGAGAAGATTAAGTTAGCAACACAGCGGCTCGCCAAAGGAAAGATTGACGGTGAATGCTGTCAGTCCGCATGTTCATGATGCACATTTTGCTCTTGATGAATGCGCTTCCTTGTTGAATTAGTCATCTCGCGTCAAGCACTCCATTTCTTTCTTCGTGATATCTCATTAGTGTTGTCGCCATGGACGCCGAAAACATGACGCTGAAGGATGCCATTACTGCCACATCAGACTTTTTCATTCGTCAGTTCCCACAACACATCAAGATCGGGCCGACGTCTTTGGGAAATGTTACTCCCTTGTCTTTACCCATCCGAGAAGTCGATCCAGGCCCAAAACAGATGAAACACTTTTTCGACATTATCTTTGATCACGAAGGTCCCATCAATCATGATCAGCTTCATCCCATTATGCGTGACAAAGCCTGGCAATAACTCCCTGAGCCCTTCAAATTGCAGAAGCAACTCCAGGTTGACTACACCGTGCAGTTGTTTATACTACCACAACGAAATGGTAAGAATTGCATCGTGAAGCACATACACATCACCAATGAGAAGATCAAAGCTTCGTCGATGTATGAGTATGTTTACGGCACCGCGTGCGAAAGCAATTGGGGAAGTCATGACAACAGGCAAGCACGCAAAGGTTTGCAGTGGATGCTGGAGCAAATGGGAGGAGTTCAGTATCGGTTCTTTGCACTTACTCCTACGGTGAAAAAAGCAGCAAAGGCGGTGGTGGAGAAGTCTGAGGAGGAACTCGATAAGGGCTTTGAGTTTATTCGGCTCCATGGGGAAAGGGATAAGGGTGCCCGCAAACAGCTGGCATGGATTCAAAAGGCTATTTCGCAGGACACCCCCATCAAGGGCTGGAAAGACAGCCTCGTGCAGAGATGCCTGGATAGTCTAGCCGCAGACTCTTCTACAGCAAAACTCATCACCAGGTACGACCTGACTGTTGCGGATTTCGAGGAGCCGATTCAGGAGATCCTTCAGGTTATCGTTCCTTTCCAGCCCATCAAAAAAAAGAAAGCATTCTCCGAGGTTGCCGATCAGGAAACGCTCACGCGGGAGCGGTGGACGGCGGCTAAATTCCATCAATATCAACTCCACATCATCATTGATAATTCCTATGACCCCAAGGAGGAGCAGATCATCGACGTTGGACCAAACCCGTCCATTAGCCATGATGTGTTCATGAAGCTCATTCGTCCAGCGCTGGGTTCCTTATTCCAATCCTAATATATGAAAGATAAGTTTAATCGTTACATTACTCGGTACATTATTGTTATCTAGAAAGTTGAATGTTTCATATTTTTCGTTGTATATACAGATAACAAAAACTCAGGCGACATCACGGAGGTGGATGCAATGGCGATCCTGAAGCGTTCATCTTCATCATCATCTCCAAGACCACCATCTATTGGCGTCTTCCTAGTGCAATTCCGCAAAAGGTACAGTGCAAGAGTTGGTTGGTGGACATCATCAAAGAGGAAGCCAAGCATATTTTGGCCAACTACAAGAAGTTTGGACCTGTCCCCGATGATCATGATGCTCGCGTACTGTGGGAAAAGGCATGGCTGAACGAGGCTATTCGTCAACATGAACCACACATATTGGTTTGGTCCAAGACTTTGTCTTCGGAGACTCGCGATAGACCCATCAATTTGGAAACACCATCCCCATCACCAAAGAAAAGGGCACGAGGAAGCAACGACACTACCAATGACAGTTCCAATGACATTCCCAATCCGGATTTCAGTTCTGAGGCTGAGCAGGATTCTATGGAGGAGGAACTTACGCGCCTTGTGAATATGCGGGATAACGAGGATGTTATGGATGTCGTGTCACCCTCTAGCTGAGGTCTCATCGCGTATGAGGAGCCCAGTGTGACATAGAATTGCCATGCAGACGGTTACTGTATTGGGTTATTTAGATTGATATTATATTCTGTTCTTCAGAAACAGAAACATCAATAAATTTTGCATACAGAGTGTATGGCAGTTCGGAAATACGTTTTGTGTCCAAGCTTGTCACCCTTGCCCATTTGGCTTATAGCAGCAAAGCGAAAAATAAAGGCGCGGAGCGAGTACAATCTTGCACGAGGATCACATCAGTGTATGTTCTAACCATGCATCTCGTTTGAAGCTTTTTGCATCGAAGAGTAAAGATATATGTAGTTGATTCTTGTCTGAGCTATGGTCAAGCAGACCATGAATGCAAAGTCTCCGTCATCATCTACATTACCGATTTCGAGGAGCCGATTGAAGAGATCATGAAGGAAATTGCCCCTTATCTTCGTGATCATGCTCTCTGGATTCTTGGTGAAGCAGGAAAAGGAAAAACTTCGTTGGGCATGGTGGTGGCTATGATGTTCCGTCGTTATCATGGTAGTTGCGGTGCATGTCGAAGCACGTGTGTTCTGAATCTCCTCAAAGGTGGTGGCTTTTCCAAGCAAATCCCTGTAATATACGATGATGGGGAGATCGAGATCGATTCAATCAAAAAGAAAAGAACCTTATCGGACGCAGCAGGTGAAGAGGTTAATGGATCTCAGCGCTGGAATGCCTTGCCTTTCAAGCCAAATCAGCTCCGAGTGATCAACAATGCGTACGACCCCGCAATGGAGCCCAAGATCGCCGGTGGTGCCATTGAGCATGATGTGTTCATGAAAATCATTCGTCCAGCGCTGGGTGCTTGGATTTATTATGACCATAATAATATCCTAAACCTTATAATTAATTGAACTTTGATTTAGTTTTCTCTTCTGCGCAAACTGAGGCGAAATCACAGACGCGGATGCTATGCTCATTCTGAAGCGGTCGGCCTTCGTCATCATGTCCCAGAATGCAATCAATTTGCGCCTTCCGAATTCCACCCCCCAGAACGTTCCATACAAAACGTGGTTGGCGGACATCATCAAAGAGGACTCCAAACCTATTTTGTCTAACTATAAGAAGGATGGCCCCGCACCTGAGGATCATGATGCTCGCATACAGTGGGAGCAAGGTTGGCTCGCAGATGCTTTCCGCCGATATAGGCCCAATCTGTAAACAGTGTCATCAAAGGTTCATCTATATGTTAAGTAACATTATACCCAAAATTCTTTGTAAGTATGCACAAGAATCGTGGGTATATGCACATATCATCGGAGGAAAGCATTTTGATCCTGAGCTTTTAACCCCTACATGACGCGACCACAGGGAACAGGCACACAAGATAAATCTTGGACAGTTGCAGTTTATCATGTCATGCATGTATTTCAAAACTATACAGTGTGTTTAAAGCATTTGGACTTGAAAAACAGTGATCCCATAAGCCGACGGTTATCTCGATCATGGTCAAGAAGATCATGAAGGCGAAGAATCATTTTCCCTTTCCAGCACCCAAACGTGGAAAAGCTCGTGCGCTCCGTAAGCCCGCCAGCATCCTCAAGAAGCCTGCAAGCAGCAAAAAGAACCCGTATGTACGTCGTGATCCTACGACGAAAACTCGAAACGAGCGTGTGCGGTGGGGTATTTCCGTGCAGATGCTTCTCAAGAAGAAGACGCTACCTCTCATCAAGCTTCTCCAGAAGGACGGTATTCTCCCGAAGATGAAGACCTGTCCGCATGGTGGCGAAAAGAGTTTGGCGTCCCTTCAGTACTCCGATATCAAGGGCATCTATGCGTACAGGTGCAATCGCAAGGCATGCGTGCGTCGAGTTCAGCCGCATAGCTTTCACCCAATATTTGTGCCGGGCAGAAACGGCATCACATCCCTTGAGATTCAGGCGGCAATTCTTTTTTGCGCGATCATAGGTCTCACCACAGTCCAGACCCACCTCCTCCTCGATGTCAACAAAAAGGTCATATCCACCATCTACGGCAACCTCGAAACCACGCGAACGCGGTATGTCACCAGGAAGGAGAAGGATATCGTCTACGGCAAATGGAGGGATGTTGAGGCAGACGAAGTGGATCTGGGGAGGGGGGTTGTGAGCGAGCCGTCAGCGAAAACATGAGCATACGATGGGAGCAATGGGGTGGTTTGGTCGAGCGAGGACGTCCCTCATCTCTACGGTTGTTCCGTCTCAGCCCAAGACTAACCGATCGACGTGCGCCAGGTCCAGGACCCATCAGGAAGCATGACTGGAAGCCAATCGCGGAGAAGTACTTGGCGGGGAAGGGAGTGATTTTGCGTACCGATGGTGCTCGTTCATATAAGTTGAAGCTCCCGGACGTCATCCACTGTAATGTGGTACATCAGAGAAAGAAGAAGATTGTGAAGGGCAAAGTTACTTGTTTTACATAATTTATCACTCACTGCATTAAAACATACCATAAGAGGTAGGTGTATGTATATAGTAATTTGATGTCACAGCTAAGGCTGTCTGGGAACCCGGATGGTAAGAAGCTCACCGTCAAGAGCGGAACACAGGCAAGTACCTTGTAATAAAGAATAGAGGGTAAACATGTTACTTTATACAGTCGTATGTCGTCTATATATATATATATACACACATAATATTCCCTAAAAACATGTCTTAAAGTACCAGGTGATCGACCGCTGCTGGCGGCATATCCGTGAACACCTTCGCCACACGTCTCGCAACCCTGGCGACCCCATCCTCGTTCGGAAGATTCGGTCCGCACAGAGTGGGTGTTTTGGAACCGAGGCAAAACTTTGTGCAAGCAGACAGGTGCAATGCTCCATGCAAGCCCTAGACCAGTGAGCCGTAACATGTTTCGCGGATTAAGATTCAGGCAGTCATTGCTTTACGCAGTGGAAAAATACTGCAAGCGCACATGTGAGTGATGTCGTTGCCGTGATTCGTTTAAGTATGCTCATGATGCAATGTGTGGTCTCAAACACTGCAGCATTGGCTCGCAACCGTCACCTGCCAATTTAGAGAAGCCATGGCGTGGACCTGGTCGTTACAAGCCGCCCTGTGCAACAAACTGCCCATAGAGGTATGGGATAACATTACTGCTTTCTCAGACCCCTGTGAAGAACACATCGGAATACCCACTGCGCCCACATCCTATCCAAAGATCCTTGGCTTTCTGACTCCAGGTAGTGTGTATCCAAAAAATCTTTTCATTTTTTACTACATGCGCGCAGGAATGGAAATCCATCACCTCAAGCATGTCCTATTTGTGGTATGCAGCGGATTTGAACATTATCTCCGCCTGGATGAGTGGCGGCTATGGAGAGTGACGTATGCACAACCTTCAAAGGGTGTACGTGCAAGAAATCCCTACCAACATGTCCAAGGGAATGCAAGGTGTATCGAGCCTTCACGCGAGGACTGCATTTGCATACGACTGTTTGTCGTCTTGGCAAAAAGCGTAAACTTACATGCATGTTTGTTTGCGCAAGCCTGTGCAGATGTTTACATGCAGCAGTGTGGGCTTCGAGAATAACACATGAAAGAGGGAAAGCACAGATATCTCACAACATATAACAGTTCAGTGGTCATGATAAATGCATACATAAAAACTGAACCCTGTTTTTTACCACTCTGTCAAGAGGCGTTGAGAGTGCAAATAGTGTACTTGAACAGAAAATCTATAGGTATTTACAGTGGTTTCGGCGCTAATTTAGAACGATGTCAAGACCCACATGAGTGATGACAGGGCCGATGTTGGTCCTTGGGGGGTACCTTACCATATATATATATATATTTACTTATGTGTGTGTCACTGTCTGTGTGTGTGTGTGTTTGCATGTGTTGCTGTGTGTGTGTGTGTCGGATTTGAGCCTATGTGTGCGACTTGCAGGACATACGATAACGACCTGGTGCTGTACTCGCTCATGGTTCTGGTGCGCCCTGATGGGGCAAGGTCCCAGACGCGTCTGACCCGTTTCTGTTTCAGGTTCAGTTGACAAAGAGGTCCAATCATCGTGCGTCCGTGGAGAGGTACGGCTTGGCACTCAGCAAGTGGGGTGTTGTGGCAGAGACTTCCGTGCCATGGAGGGGTGTAGCGTCTTGACCTTTTTCCCAAGACGTGGAGCTCAAATGATCTGTTTGGAGTTGTGCCGCTGAGTTGACGTGATTGGCGCTGGGTCGCGGCTTTTCTAGGTCTCTTTACAAGTCTCAGCGACGTGAGGGCTGTGTCCGCTTCGAAGCGGAGCGATGCTTGTCGCTTGGAGCTTTTCTCGGAGTCGAAAGCAGAGCCGCAAGGCCGGGCTTAGCTAGGGATCTCGGATCTGCCGCAAGCGCCCGGCAGGGCTGCGCTCCCGATTCCTGCGACCCTGGCTCTGACTTTGCGCACCTCTGTGCCGAGGGCTTCTGGAGTTCTGCACCGGCTTGCTGCACTCGCTCCATGCCCAAACAGAGACGAGGCGCTAGAGCTGGTGCTGGAGCTGTGTCGCGGGCTGTTCTGAGAAGGTGGAGGGTGCTGGCCGAGCTCTGCAACATCCTGGGCCAGCTCTTCGCCGTCGGGGAGCCCCAGAGCCCCAGAGCCCCGGTCCTGTCTGGTCGCAGAGGCGCTTTTTTTCTTTTGGCTCAGGACGACGCGTCGAGGGAGGCTGCAGCCGCACCAGAGAGTCAGGCCCTGTCGCCCCAAACGCTGAGATCCGCCGAGATGTGCGACAACTGCCGGCATGGCGTCTGCAGGTCTTCGATTTCCTGATGACGCTCATGGAGTCTTCCGTCTCCCAAGGCGCTCTCTGTCCGCCTGTGGCCGCCTTTGCCTCCGCGATGCGCTCTGCGAGGCGTGTCGCCGCTGCCTGACTGGAGCATCAAGCTTCAGAGCAAGGCACGTCCACGTCCACTTCCACGTCCACGGTCTTCTCTCATGTCAGAAAATGCCATCAGCAACAGTGGCCGCCTGAGGTGCTGCTCGCCTTGCGCTCTCTTTGCCAAGTGTCGGCATCGCGCCGTCAGCAGGCGCTTGAGAAAATGCCTGCGAGACCGCGGCGTCTTCCTTTTCCTGTCAGGTCTGCGACCATGCGAGCAAGCCTCTGCCCAAGCTCATGTCGGCACTGGGGAACCAGGCACCCGGATCGCTTGCGCTTGAAGCGCGTGATGCGCGCGCTTGCTGCGATCTCGCGGGATGCGCACCGGGCGCAGGCCAACCTGGAGCATGCGGATTGGATGAACCAGGCCTCTCTCACAGCATCTCTCGGGGCGGGATTCGGGATTCGACACCTTCACAGGCTATACTGCTCTGCTCGGCACTGAGCACCACCAGGCACCCGACATCCCGTCACATTCCCCGCTTTCTGGTGGAACTCTGACGGGCACATACGGGCACTGGACAGGGAGCACCTCGTGGACCTGAAGGAGGCTGGCTGGGAGCAGGCCTATCCGGCAAGGGCCCCAAACGGATTCTTTCAGGGGCTCGCTGAAGGTCGCATTTCTGCTATCGGGCCTCAGGTGATGAGCACTTGCCAGACTGCGGCCGAGCGCGACCTTCTCCGAGAGAGGACCCTCGGTGCCTCTTCTTGATGCAGGCGCCGTGCCATCCGTCTGTTTCATCTCGTTTCTTTCAGGATGATGGTCATCAGCAACGCGATTGCCACGCTTGCAGGTCAAAGCAAGTAGTCCGAGTTAGATTCGACATGTCTGATGTGCATACTTTTCTGCAGAGAGACTCGAAGTGCCAAAGAGCCTGGATCGCCAAGTGTTGTGGTCAACGTGTCTTCAAGCAGGTGTACAAAGATCTGTGACTGGAAAAGCCAGTCCCTTGAGACGTGACGCAGTGCTAGTTTTCATCTGCCTTGCGCCAGTCCCTCCGCCTCCGCCCCCAGTTCAGCATGCCCCACTTGCACGACAGCTGGACACGAACGTCTGCCGCAAGGGGTCCGTTGCGAAGCCTTTGAGGCCCTGAGAGTCCGACAGCATATCTCCCAAGCTGTGCAGAGCCCAAACCTAGTAACCTAGGGAGCCTTCAACTTCACACGACGTTTAGGGCTTAGGGTGTGCACGCGTCCACGCCGTCCACGCTGGAGCCGGCACGCATTCGTGCAGACTTGGGGTAGGCCCAGTGTTCCGCGCTGTCAGACACAGCTGTCTCTTTTGAAGTCTCTGACTCTGTGCAGGCTCGCGGCTCGGCGGCTTGCGGCCTACGGTGGCTCACGATGCCGCTCTACGAGGAGCTCAGAGCTGAGGGCTCGAGAGCCGAAAAGTCTCCGTTCCTTTCTGCACCTGTCACAGGAGAAGTTCATGTGCCCGTTCTCCATCCGCTTTTCGCAGGCTCGGATACGGCCCACCTTCCAGGACCGGGCCAAGGGGCGCAAGCTTACTACCAGAAACGGCTTTGACGGGGCGGAGCACGGAGAAGGGTGGGGAGCGGGGTCTGTCTGCAGGATGGAAGGGAGGTGGAGGCATCGATGGAGCAGATTTCGGCCCGCCCCCCTTGGCTTCTTAAGTGCGCTGCCTCGGCCTGCTCCTGGCGATGTCTATACGGCTTTGACAGGCTGTCTCGTGTCCAGAAGGACCTCTACAACAGAGATACGATGTCCTTCTGAGGCCACCATGTGAGCTTGAGAGCGCACCCACGCAAGCTGCCAAGCTCTTTTGAGGGCACCCTTTCCACCCATCGAGATCATCCGATGGTGGCCCAAGCTGCGCGAGGAGGCTGCTGTCTTGCTTGTCTAGGCACAGAGCTTCTGGGAAGAACCGGAAGAAACCTGCGTCCACAGCAGACAAAAGCATGATCGCCAGTTCGAATTATGAACTATGACATACTATGACTGTCAAGTATTCTATGTAACTCGAGTACATCAGCTTACAACACTTGACCCAAATCAGCCCATGGCATGCGATCCGGACTCAACGGCGCAGCCTTCAGTGTCATTTCTCACAAAACGAGCCTTCTTGTGCCCACACCAACGGGTCGCGACCGCAGAAGAACCATCATCGGCATCCATGCTGTGTTCATCGTGCTGTTGAGCAGGATGGTGAGACCCTCTTGGATGAGAATGGAAAGACCATCCTAGGCCGCTCAGCCTGCTACCCTGCTGCACAGCTTTGCCGCTTGTCTGGGCTAGGAGAACCGTGCTGGTTCACGTTCGACAACCGAAGGTTGTACTGCCTGCAGGCAGGATGGCGAAGTAGGGGCTTCGTGTTGTGTTTCTGAATATGCGGTCGTAGCGTTGGAGCTCGAGGCAGCAGCCATCAAGAATTGGCCTTCTCGAACGGCTGCAGTGGCGCACGTCATGCATGATCTACCCGCTCGGGGCTGAGTTGGGAGTGACGGTTTGCTTGGGTGCTCTTTCCTTTCCCACCTCAGGTGTCCAAGTGCGCGCCCAAGAAGTTCCGCACCACCGATCTGGGCGGGTCACTGAGTGTTTTTGTTGCTTTGGTTGCTTTTCGACTCAGAGCTGGAATGCGCCCAAACTCATGCGCAGGCTGCTCCGTTCGCATCTCGCGGAGGGACGATGTGGTGCCGAAAGCCACCTGGACCTGGATGGAGGCGTCCGCGTGCGATCGTGTGAGCGTTCGTGCCTCCTCCCGCCTCGCTGGCAGCCGGTCGGCTCAAAGACTCAAAGCCAAAATCACAGGGAAAGCGTTCTCAAAGAGCTAATTTCACACCCAGGCAGGTGCCGAGTAGAGAGACTGCCTCGGAGCTCGTGATGTCAATGGATGCTTCCATGGCCCGAAATGCTTCAAGGACGGCGGGCAGTGCACAGAACAAGACTTCTGCTGAAGCACCGAAATAAAGCGCACACAACACGCGCCAGGATGCTGCGGAAGTCTCCGGCACGGAGGAGGAGGAGGAGGGGGCTTGAAGGTGCTGCGGCCACTGCTGGCAGGCTGCCGCGGGACTCGGCCCTCGCCGCGTCGCCGCGGTGGTCCCTGCTCTGACCTTTGGCTTTGGGCCGCCAATTCCGGCCTTCCCCTTCTTGGTCCCCTGGGCTTAGCCCAGGCCAGCAGGAGCCGGGAGCCGGGGGTTCGGGTCCCTTTGCCTTGGCTCGGAGAGGTTCGTCTCAGCTTCGCAGGACGCGGTGCTATGCCAAAGGCTTCAAGGCCAGGCCCAGCTGCGGCGCTGTCCGCGCTTTGATGTGCCGTTGCCCTTGGCTCGAAGGGCAAGAAGTCCAAAGCCAAAGCCAGAGGACCCACTCTGGCAGACATCGAAGCAAGGCGCGATCCTCTCAGCAGCTCTGCAGTCCCGCGGTGGACGCAAGAAAGGTCGTAGCGCGATGCGCGTGTCTCGCTCACATCTGTCGGAGATGCGCTGTCGACTTCCTCGATCTTGGGGCTTCTGCCAGGCTGCGGCAGCGCAAGGAGCGGCGCCGTGGCCCTGTGGCCCCCGGCCTCAGCCAGGCAGCGACCCTCGGATTTTGCCTTTGAGGTGAGCGCCTGAAGAGGAAGGAGGAGGAGGAGGTGCGGTAGTGCGGTCGCGCCATGCCTTTCGCCGCGACTGGGTGCGTGGAGGCCGAGACCCTGAGCAAGGCGGACGGCGAGGACGACGAGGACGAGGAAGAGGAGGACGAGGAGCGGTCCAGAGTCGAGAGTGGATTGGGCGTCTCTTCGTGTATGCTTTTCGGGCAGGCCTGGGACGCCTTCGGTCGTGCTGTTGGTCGTGTTGTAGGAGGAGCCGAGCGCCACGGGCCGGGGCCTGGGGCCCCTGCACCAAACAACGGCCGTCCTCCCCGGGAAAACCCTGTCTTCGAGGCAAGTCCTGGTCAAGGTCACAGACAAGTCCGAAGCGACCATCTGCCAGATTCCCAAAGGCAGACGTGCGTCCGGGCCCTCGACCCTGTTCTCGGTGCACCCAGAATCTCACAGTGCCTTCGCCACTAAAATCGCCACAGGCCTGCGCTGCCACCGATCGTCGGCGATGAGGTCCGTCGGAGCCCCGACGGCGGCTGCGCCCTTTGCTTCGGCTCCCACCGCGCCCGAGGCATCGCGTTCATGGCGGCCGCAGCAGATGCCGAGGCTCCGCGTTTCCGCCCGTGTGCGTCCGATTTGAAATCGCTGCAACTTGCAGGCTGTCGTCGAAGAGGCCAGATTTGGAGGTCCCTTCCTTCGTGATCTGTGGCGGGCAGATCTGGGGAGGTGTTGCCGCGGAAGTCCACGCTGGTCCGAAGGCGGGCGTGCAGAGCCGCAGCATGCGCCGCAGCTGCCGCTCGCCTCTTGCCAGGCGTGCGGGGTCCCCGCACCAGGCTCAAGTTCTCTGCGCCAACCTGGACCTCGCGGTTCTGGTTCTCAGCACCGAGCCCAACTTCTCCGAGGCGCGCAACTCTGCAGAGCCGCAGAGCTGCTCGCAGATGCTTGGTGAGTCTGAGGGCATGGTGGACCGCGTGCTGGTCTCGGCGCATGCGCAGGGTTTGGAAGTGGTCATCGTGCTCAACAAGGCACACTACCTATGAGCTCTCGGCTCCGAGCTACTGTGGAAGTCTCGATCCTAAGTAGCGCAGGATCCTTACATTTAGCGCGGCTTTAGATGCGATGGCCGAAGACTTTAGCGGCAGGCAGATCTCCTGGATGATTCTGAGAGGATCGAGGCCCGCTGCGAGCCGGAGCAGCAGTAAGTCAGTCACTCCTCCTGGCTCGCGTCTTTGAGGTCGAGAAGCGGCTGTCAGTCTACGAGTTGGCGGGCTATAAGGTGTGCGGCGTGCGTCGCTGCTCTTTCGAAGGACGGGTTCGGAAGGGATCTCTTTGTGGATTCTGAGGTGCTGCTGGTGAGTGCCTTGGACGGGCAGAACGTGGAGCAGCTGCGCGAGCTCTTCTGCGGCCGTGCCGAGACTACAGCTGAACGACTGGACAAAGATCTCAGTTTCCTGTAAGACCTGAGAGCTGGTGAGCGCCAGAAGCGGAAGCAGTGAAGCAAGCAGTGAAGCAGAGAAGGCACCAGCATCCTCATCGGCAACAGCGGTGTGGGCAAGTCACAGCTGCTGAACGCGCTGGGCGAGGATGGGGGCTTGCATGAAGCCGTGGGAAGGGGCAACAAAACCAGTCCGTCGTTGTGCAGGGCCAGATCGCTGCGGCTGTTGGAGACATCAGCGAGAGGCCAGCGCATGGTGAGCCTGGGTCTGGGTCAGTCTGCGAGTCTGAGGGTGTTTCAGCGTCAGGTTGAAGCTCGGCAGGCATGTCACCACGACCAGCAGCCTGCAGGGGACCTGGCGCGGAAGTGCCTTTGCCCTCCTTTTTTTTTGTTGTCTCTCCCGGGGCCCTCCTCTTCTTCTCTCAGGCATCGGCTTCCGGGAGCTGGGGAGCCGGCCTACCTGATCGACTCGCCAGGCCGGTCTCTCTGTGACCAACCGCTCTCGGTGCCCGCTATAAAAAACACCCTTTCAGTGCAGGCGCGCGGAGGTTCAGCATCTGGGACGTGGAGGCTGCAGAACTCAAGGACCGCGGAAGCCGCAGAGCTGCAAAGCTGCTGCAAAGCAGACGGAGGACCACTTCGTCGAGTTCCTTCCGGAAGCTGGGAAGTGCAAGTTCTCCAACTGCAACCATCTCGAGGCCGACGAAAAAAATCCTTTTCGGGGACGACAACTGCTCACAACTGCAGACTTCTCGTAGGAGCCCGGATGTGCCGTCAAGGAGGCGGTGGAGGTCCGCGTCTCTGTGCTGCTGGGCCTCGCCCCCTTTCTTCTGTTGGAGGAGGGCAAAATCTCCCGACAGCGCTACAACTCCTACGTCTCCATTAGGCGGAACTTGCTGCAAGGCCAGGGCGGCCAGGACGAAGCAAGTCCGTGACTCGCCGTTTTGACTTTCACAGAGGCCAGGAAGGCACCAAGATACCTCCTTGGCATGGACCTCAGGCTGCTGAAATCTGCTGCACGCGTCTTTCGCAAAAGAGCGCAGGCAGCTGCTGACGGAGCCGGAGTGAGTTGGAGACGGAAGTTGCTCTTCGAAAAAGGATGCTCTGTCGTCGGTGCTGCCTTGCGGGTCTTTCAACAGGGGAACCATGACATAGTTCTGCAATCTGTGGAGGCAGCAGGCAGGATCGATCGGGAGTCTGAGGACGCACTCTGCAACGCTGTGAAGTGTCCGTGAAAACTCCCAGCAGGACTATAGGAAGGCCATGGAAGCCATCTTCGCAGACGGGAACAAGGCAGCACTGCAGCATAGACCCTCGGATGCACGTTGCATTTTGCTTCGCAAGATCTTGTGTGGCAGGAGCACTGGTCAGAGCTGCTTGATGTTCCGGTGAACTTCACACGTGAGCACGCCCCACAGATGCGGTAGGGACCGAGCTGGTCCAAGATCTGCACTTGTCCACTTCAGGGATGGTGTCGACGACGAGGCTATGAGGGCGGTGGCAAGTCAGTCGTCGAGAGGGAGCGAGTGGAGATGGCCAGGAGTATCAGCTGTACCGGCCGAAATTCGACGAGGCTCTCCTGGGGCTCTGTGGGTGATAGCCATGCTGGTCCGCTGACAGGAGGCAGAATCCACGGTGAACACGAGGACCCGTCCAGCCTGTCGCATGTTCGAAGACGTAGCAGAAACGCTTCAAGGATCCTTGATAGGGGGAGAAGCACCGGGCTCAAGTATTCTTTGGGCAGTCTCCAGGGCTATTGAAGCCCGTGGGATCCAGCTGCAGACGCTATGCATCGCTGGTCATCTGACCAAGAAGTTCCAATGCCTTGAATGCTAGCGGTAAATCGCATCGCACAGGAAACCCTATATTCTCATAACCCCTCCTGACCCCCAGAGAACCAGATGGCTCCGTTTGAAGGACCGCCCGGCGGATTCTGAAAGCTGGTGGCTGCCGCGTGAGCCGAGGAGGCAAATGTCTAGAGTCTAGACCTGGCGTCTGCACATCGCATACATTTGATGCATGCATTGCTTGGCGACAGTATGTGCGGTTGTCTCTGTCAGTCAGTCTGTCTGTCTGTCTGTCCGTCCTCTGTATAAGGTATGCGGTATGCATGTTGGAGGTATGCATGCATGCATCCATTCATCTGTCTACATAAACAGACAAGTACATATGTAGATAATATACTCTCTGATATTGTATAGCAATACAGCTACCATGCAGCTATCGGTCGATCAATTGTGTGTGTGCGTGCGCGTGTTTGAGTGCGAGCAACGCGAAGACCTCATGCATCATTTTTCAGGCACCGAAGCCCAGGCAGCTGCAGCGACGGTAGGAGCCTTGGTCGTGGTACTTGGTAACAGCCCAGTTTGGTTCTGGTTTCTTTTTTCCGCATCAAGGTTGCCGCAGCTGCTGCCGCAGCGGGGTTCTGAGCTTCTCCGTCGGTAGTCTTTTGTTTCTCCGTGCGACAGAGGCCGCCAAAGCCTCGACCATGGCCACAGTCACAAAGCGTTCGAAAGAAAGCAGCGGCAGGCGCGGCCTCTCGGCATCCCTCCCTCTCTGAGGCGGAGGCCTTGAATCGCAGTGCGGCCTGCGAGTCCAGGCCGGAGGAAGCGGAAGCGGAGACGGAGACGTGGCCTGGAGCCGAGAGCGGAGCGGCAGCGCTCGCAGTGGCGCGCTCGCAGCGGCGGCCGCAGCGGCTGAGGGCTCCGAGCGGGACTTCGGCAAGCCAGTTCGCTTCCGCGAGCTCCGCACTGAGTCATGAGAGCGCTCTCTCTCAAAGCTCCGCTGCAGCTCTCCTCGTTGCAGGCTCCAAGGACGCGGCTTCCTACGACGGCTCAGGTCCCACCAAGCTTGTCGGCTTGTCGTTTTTCTCTGCAAAAATCGTGGATTCGACGGAGGCTACTTCGAGGAATCCGAGTACGGCGGGGATTTCAATGTGTACCAGCTTGCCGCAGCCGCTGCCGCTTACAATGGGGCTGCACAAGCATCGCTCGCATGGCAGTTCCAACAGCAAATGATGCAAAACATGCAGATGCAACAGTTCCAGCAGCAGCGCCTCCAGCAGCTGCGGGATCTGCGACAGAAAGAGAAGAAGAAGGCGCAGCAAGCCCAGCAGGCCCAGCAGCAGGCCCAGCAGCAAGCCCAGCAGCAGGCCCAGCAAGCTTTGCTGGCCCTGGCGGCCAAGTCCCTTCCGAAGGCCGCGGCCAAGGCAGCCAAGGCCCCAGCCTCCCCAGCCAAGGCCCCAAGCAGCCCACCTTCTATCTCAGAGGTCGGATCCACACTTCGGAAAACCGTGAACGGGGCCAGCGGCCTCACCAACCTCACGACGCTGAGCGCCGCCACCAAAGGAGTCTCGGGCGGCAGCGGCGCCGCAGCCGACCTTGGCTCCCTCCTCATGGCCTCGACCCAGGCAACAGCTCTGAACGAGCGGAGAATGACGAGAGAGAGAGAGAGAGAAATGTTGCATCCCATCAGGCGTAGCAAGCAAGCAAGGGAGCATCCATGCCTTTTTCGAGCCCCCGCAAGGCCCCCAAACAGGGGCGCCCCACTCGCTTCAGAGAGAGGGAGAAGATAGATAGCACATCTTAGCAGAAGAGTCTCTTTGCCAATGCTGACAGGAAGAGGGGGTTGAGTGCTGTCTTGTGCTGTCTTGCAGAAAAACGATCAGTGGTTCAGCGGCCTTTTGTCGGACGGTTGAGGCGAGCAGCACGGCCACGCCGGCGTCCCCGGTGAGCTCGTGGGGCCGGCGCAGTGGATGCAGAGAAAATGTGTAAGGAGTTCACGTTTGAATAGAAGTCTTCTCTCCAAACACTGGGCCCTGAGGGCATGGGGCCTGAGGGCATCTGAGGGAAGCACGGGGCCAGTTTTGCAAGGGTTTTAGGAGGACCATACCCTCGCTGCATTAGCTACCGGGGAGTGATGGCCGTAGCAGCATCCGAGCTCTTCGGACAAGAACACCGATACCCGGTGTCGAAAATTTGTTGCGAAATGCGCCACTGCTGCGAGTGCAGTGCGGGTGCCAGGTCCTCTGCAGCGCCCTCGCAACCCTCGCAGCCGGGGCTGCTGGACTCGAAGGCGCCAGCGCAGCCGGAGCCCAGGATCAGGAAGCGGGAAGGCCCCCCAAGCCAAGGCTGCGAAGCGAGAGAGAGAGAGAGAGAGAGAGAGAGCAATGCCCCATGCGAATGCTCTGAGGCAAGAGGATGATGTCGACTGCAATCAGCAATGAGGGGGCGCTGGGCCGCTGGGCAGGGGCCGCCAAAACGGACGGATGCCTTGCCCGCAAGGCTTGCGGCTCGAAGCCTCGCTAGGGCGGCGGGAGAGAGACTCCAAATTGACTGGGAGTCCTTACTGGACAGACTCAGGAGCTTTTTGAGGTCTGAAACTTTGTGAGTGGTTAACACGTTTCTGCACCGAATTCGCAGAGAAAGGCCCAGTACTGGTAGAGCTGTGCGGCGTTGCAGCGGCAGAAGAGCACAGCTCTCTGAAGCGCGATGTGTTCAACTGCCCGGGCTAGGGCCTAGGTGAGCCGTATGACAAGAGGCCAAGATTTTTTTGTTAAGAGCGGGCATTTAAGGGCTGTGCATGCTGAGAGGTGCACGCCGCTGTGTACAATTCGATATGCCATGCGTGGAACCAGACTTCCAACTGCGATATAGAGGGAATGCTGGAGTCATGCTTTTGAATGTCAGGAGTGACGGGCCAAGCTAAAGGCTGCCCCTGGACCAAAGCTCCTACCTGCGCTATGTGGACTCCTTGTACTGATCCGAATCATGGAAGTCACATAGCTTCCAGCTTGGCGGAGGTACGGCGCTTCGGATTCCTTGCATCACTCCATCCTGGATTGACTGTCAGTTGTCGTCAGCTAGCATAGTGAGGCATAGTGCATCCTAGCTCTTCAGAGTTCAGGAATTTCTCGGACGTTATGGCGGTGATGCTTCCGGAATGCATAGTTTTCCCGTGCGTGTCGCGCTGCGGATGCGCACGTTGCGATCGCTTGCCACGGCCAAAGTGTCATTTGCAACCACCGGCAGTGGCGCCCGGAAGAAGTCCCAGAGCCCCCTCCGAGCCCTTCCGAGCCCTTCCCCGAGCCAGAAAGCTGTGGTCCCTGGTCAGTGTTTGAAGCTTCTCCTGCGCTGAAGGGCCGTCTCTCTGTCGAAACGGTCGAAAACGGCCACATCTGTTGCCCTGTGCGAACCTATGTGGCGCCGATGCGCCACAGCTCACGGCTTATTCCACGGCCTGGACCCACCCCAAACCCAGAGTTCTGGGCACCAGCGATTAGAGAGGGTGGTAGTAAGCTTTACCAAGGCACGGTCATAATCGACTATACGGCGTTGGTGTGTGTTTTTTTGCGAGGTCTTCCTGCAGGTGATGCCGCTTGTTGCGCATGGTTGTACAATCTCTTGATACAGGATTGCCGCTACTCTGAAGACGAGCTGTTTTGGCTGCCATACCCTGAAACTGGCTTTGAGGAAGTCATCGCAGGGTGCAGCATCTCTAGCAGTAGCGGCTGCGGACAAGCAGAAAAAGCCCCAGCTTCCTCGGTTCTCTCCGTCTGCCAGTCTGGTCGACAACCGCTCGGGCCTGTTATTTCTTTCGGCAGTCCCTTAACCAGTGACGATCCTGCCTGTGGACTCTGGCTCAACCACGTCGCGCGGGGCGACAACCGGAGGCCAGCAGCATTCTGGGAACGGGAACGATAGCAGACAGCAGGGCTCGCCGCGTGCTCCGACGCAGGCGGGCGACTCCCGCCATGCTTCCGAGAGTGAACGGCTGAGCTCAGACACCACAAGCTGAGCAAGGAGGATAGGCACTGCAGGGGGGCCCGCAGGCGCAGGGATCGGGAGATCCGGGATCTGCAGCGAAGAGCCAGGACAAAAATGGATCTCTGCTGCTTCCCGAAGCTGCTGGATCCGGCCGAGACCTTCCTCTGTTGCCTTCCCCTGGGCGCCGGGGTGAAGCTCCTGATGTGGCCACACCACGCGCTCACGCTCTACACAGTCGCCACAGCCAACCTGCCCCGTCTTGAGGAGTCTTCTAGGCAGCTTCCGACAGTCGTAGCATGTCTCAACACATCTCAATGCAGGCCGCGGAGAACCTGATCGCTGGCGACCTGGGTTTGGCTCTGAGCGGCTTGTCTCGGCTTCCATGCTCTAGCGAGCCACATCTCAGGAGCGACTGGAACATCTCAAATGTTCGAAACCATCTGGTCTGCGTCGCAGCATGTCGCAGCTCTCCATGTTGACGAAGAGACACTGCTAGGGAGCGCAACCTGCAAGGTCTCTGATCGGAGCCCGGCTGCCCAGCATCGCGTCCTACAGACACGAAGTGCCAAGATCCCTTTTGAAATAACCAGTGACGTTGGGCCGCGAAGCCGCCTGAGCTTTTCTGTCCAGGTCCCGATCATCACGGCGGGCCTTTGGGGAGTCCACCATCGGTTGGAGCCGCATGTACCGCAGTCGTCTTTTTGAATCTTGTCATTGTCAGCTTCTGAACCTTCCAGAATTGGAAATAGCTTTGCCAGGTGCGACTCTACTGGTATTACTTAGTCCTGAGCTTCTTCATTGACATGGCATGGGACCCAGAGAAAGACTCGAAGCTTCAACAGACTCCACGGATCCTGTGCCCAGTACTATGTCGTCGACATCTTCCTTCTGCGCGACGCCTGTGTCCACCTAGCCTTGGACGCCTGGAGCCCGGTTATCAGAATTTCTGTGGCTTAGTATGTGCTTGCTGAGACCAGAGGGGGATTTTGTTAGACGAGGGGGGTTCGCATGAAAAGTCAAAGCTGATAAGGGCAGGATGATCTTAGAACGGCTTCAAGTACAGTAGGAGGATACTTCGGATATTTCCCCGTCCGCCCTCAGGTCCAAGGCCGGCAGGGCCAGGCCTTCGCCTGTGGCGTCGCTCGGAGTGTGAGCACCGCCAGCGCCGTGGTGCCTCGGAGACAGGAGACAAAAGAAGCAAAGCATCGGGGAAGAGGGGGGGGGGTCAGGGGTCATAGTGTGGTCATCGTCTCAGGTTCTTACCCTCGTCTTTCTGTACCTCATCTACATCGTCTGGAGCTGGTGTGAGGTCCCGGGGAGACATCAGACCTCGGGGGGCCTGACCTTTGGTGTCACCTCGGTGTGCCCCTTAAGCAGGACGTGGAAGGCACCGGCGCCGCAGACGTCCCTTGGGCAAGGGGAGAGGTGTGAAGAAAGCGGTAAAAGCGCTGGCGCACTTTTGCGGGCGCCGAGGCCATGGCCAGCTTGTTGGACCTGGCAGAGGGCAAAAGGCGGCCGCAACGCCTTGGCTGGTCGCCAAATGACCTGCCAGAGCTGATTGGCCCCAGCTTGGACGCTACCGCGGGGGGGCCGAGTCCCACCCCAGCATAGAGCGTTGTTGTGGCCATCTGTAGCTAACTTTCACTTCGGTGAGGCCTCCATCATTTCTGGGGCTGGCATCTTCTACGGTTCCATCAGCAATGCCATCAACAAAGAAGCCAAGATGGCCGGCGGCTCCGAACAGAGCGCTGAGGGAGGGACGGGGGGGCGGGGCTGCGGGGCTCACTCGCTGACGTTTCGAGGTGGGCCAGTTCGTCGTAGAGGAGGTTGGCGACATCGAGCGCTACGCGACAGGCCGAGTGGTTGAGCAGAGGGGCCAGCGCCGGGGGGCTAGACCCTCTCGCAGGCCTTGAGCAGCGCTGACCGGCAGAAGCGAAGGAGCCTCGAGAAAAGGAGAGGGAGAGCCTTCTGCCTGCGAAGCCTTGCATGACCTGCACGAACTGCCCCAAACACCTGAGCTCGCCACGCCGTTGCTACTCTCGCTGCTCGCAGCTCCCGGCGCGCTTTCTGAAGCCAATTTCAAAGCCATGAGTGCAGATGTGGTTGAAATCCTCTCGCCCAGTGCAGTTGCGTGAACCTCATAAGCCTTTTTGTGCCAAAGGCTGGCAAGCACGAATCACTGCCCTTTGCCCGCAATTCCAGGTGCGAGTCTCGAGCCCGACCCAGCTGCCCATCGAGAGGAGGCCTTGCAGGGGCTGCGGGCCCATGCCCCCCCAAGCCTTTGGGGGGGAGAGGGGGAGGCTTCTCTGCCAGGGACCTCTATCTTCTTCGCAGTTCGCAGGAGACTCCAGCTCTCCCCGAGCAGAGTCGGGCTCCAAGTCGTGGCCGAAACCCGGGCAGCCAATGGTCCCTGGTTTTTTCGTCCCCCCCCTGGCTCCGAGGCGCGCGACCTCGAGGCGCGAGTCGAGCTTTGTGTTTTGTCCCGCGCCTTTTTCTTTCTTTCTCTGCGCCTTCTTCTTTCTTGAGGTGACCGTCAGTCCGAGTCCGGGGTATCGATTGGGAAGAGCCCAGCTGGAGATCGGCTCACTCACTGAGGAGACCGGGCCCCAACTCGCCTTTGCCTCCCCCCCCGCGGAGCCAGGATATCGACCACATGCGCTCGGAGCTCAAGTTCCTGCAGCGCGACCTCTCGACCTCGAAGGCGGAGGGATCAGAGCACCTCGCAAGCGCCTTTAAAGCCCGGGCCCGCTCTCGGCCCCGGCCAGGCGCCGCAGTGGGCGCCGCCACTGCGGAGACCTCAGCACGTGAGAGGCGATGCCTGAGCCGCTCTGAGCTGCTCTGCTTCTTCGAACTCAGGGGAGCGAGCGTGATGACCACGATCTCCACGATGGACACCGCAAGGCAACAAAAGTCGTAGCGAGCTCTTAAGCGAGAGAGAGCGGGCGACGGAGGGGTGGCGGGGTAGGCTGGTGGACTCCTGCATCAGCGACAAGGCTTCAACATATTCTCCCGTAAGTCCTGTGTTCCCCAAGAACCGGGTTTCAGAGGTGGACGCCATGAAGCTGGACCTGGACACGGAGCGGCGGCAGCGATTGGCCAGGGAGGAGGATGCCCGATCCAGGTAGCGCCGAGCTGCGCAGGAGCCTCAGATGCTTCAGCGCGGGTCCTAGGGTCGGGGAGGCTCCAGAACGTTCAGCAGAGCTCCGATGCCCATGCCGCCCACCAGTTCCACACGGCGGGGCCGGGAAGGCGCCTTAATGGGCATGCGCGCGCGTATGTGTCGTCGCTCGGAGGACGGGCGAGTCCGGAAGATGGAGGAGGCCATGGCGGCTGTGGAGAACCGCCTGGAGATGCTCTTTCAGGCTGGGCGCCGGGTGTGTAAGCACTTCCCGGACAAAAAGCAGTGGCTCAGGACCTCGACCAAGGCATGAAGAAGCGAAAGGCCCGGACTCGGATGTCCAGTGCATCTCACACAACATCATGGCACCTCCTTTTCTGTACGGACCGCCTTTGTCCATGATTGCAATGTGTGACATGGGCCGAGGCCGATCCTAAACTGCTTGTACCTCTTCCCACAGTGCGCTTTCATTTCTTTTGGTTTTGTGAGCTGATTTGCTGGCGACGGTGATGATGCTGATGACAATGATTCTTCTTCTTCCTCACGCTGCAGCGCCCTCTCGAAAGGCAAAGCAGACGAAGCTGAAACCCTAAAGCCCCAACGACTTGAAAGAGACTGAATCAAAGACTTCAACTGCATGTTGTATACTGTATCTCCTTGCTCTAAAGCAGAGTATCCTTTGTTCCAGTGTGCTTCAAGCTGCAAACAGTGTCAAACGATAAGGGACGACCTCATCTAACAACGAAACTTGCAGAAATACTTAATTTCGGCGCCGTCTCACATGCAAAAGTACCAAAGTGGTACCAAACAACTTCAACAAGCATGGTTGGTTAGCGGAAAACTCAGCACCAGTACCAGATCAGACGACAAGACGAGTTAGGGGTTTTGAAAGCATGTAATTTCGGCTGCGCTGCACGCTGCCACAAACGACTTTACCTAGAACCAATACGAATTATTTGGACCACATGCTTATATGAAGGGTGTCCTTCAGCTTGACACCTCGGCAGCCAGCACTAGCATTGATTATGCTAACACGTGTCTGACAGCACATGATGCTAGGAAGGGGAGGATGCGCTTTGGCTGGCCGTGCAGGAGGCAGGGCTCGGCGGTCGTTTGTGCAAATGTTCACCACAGGCGTGACCGGCGGTTGCTGTCGCGGTGTGGGGAGGTCCGAGAAAGTGTGGGGAAGGAAGCACAGCAGCGCGCCGCCCGGGACGAGGCCGGGCGGGGGGCGATTTCGAGGAACGCCGCTACCGTTGCCGGTCCTTGCTGACTCCGGCAAATGTTTGTCGGGAGGAGCTGTCGCGAGAGGGCGCCGGTCTCGCGCAGCTTTTGGAGCAGGTCTGACAAGCGAAAAAGATTCTGAGCTTCACCGCAGAGCTGTGCTCGTTGAGGAGCGCTCGGAACGAAGGAAGGCGGAGGACGTTGTGGGCAGGGACCGCAAAGCGGAGCTCCTCCGTGTCGCCTCCGCGGAGGCCCAGATAGCACAGGCCGGGAGGTGCGAAGATCTGCTCGACGTGTGAAGTCCGAAGATCTGGCCTTCGCTCCGGTTTTCCAGGCGGCGGAGACGCTGGACTTCAAGTTCCACTCCTTGAAGGAACTCCTGGATGCTGAGAAGACCGCTCGAAGCGCCAGAGCCCCAAGCCGAAGCCAGGAAGCTCGGGCTCTCGGATGCTGTTTTCAGATTCCATGAGGGCATGAGCGTCAAGCTCGAGCACGATCTGGCAGATCTGGGAGTGGCTGTGCGCGGAGAGAAGGATGGGATTGAATTCGCCTGCTGCCTCTGCCTTCTGCTGTCTCCAGGATGCAATGGAGAGGAGGCTGACTACTGCGGACTTTTTGAGGAAGAGACTTGCGATGATGCTGTTGGCAGGTTGACAGCTTTCAAGCATGCTTGGGACAAGGATGCCTGCCCGCGGGCAGGGAGGGTAAAAGGGCACACGGTTTTCACTAGATTTGTCTGCGCATCTGTGAAGGACACGGAGGAAAAGCTTCGGGGCCACCGGCAGGGTCTGGAGACCCTGATCGACCGCAAGCTCTCTGAGTTGAAGGACGTCGGAGTTTTTTAGCTTTCAAACAGAGGCGGAAGTTTGAAGCCCCAGCTTTCCAGGAGTCGGTGGAGCAGGGCTTCACGCTCGCAAAGCAGAATCGGGAATCGATCCAGTTCGCCATGGATCGAGAGCGCGAGTCACGGAAAGCCAGCGGCCGAGTGAACCGGACAAATTTTGAGGGAAGCCCTTTGAGAGAAATGTGGCACTGAGGCTCAAAGCGAGACGCTCCTTGCGAGCTTGGAGGCAGTCCGCCAGATCCGCTCTTTGTGGCCCGTCGTTGTTGTTTGTTCGCGTGACATGGCGTGACCAGACGCGCTTGGAGCCCGTGCTTTCCCGTCTTGGCCAAGCGGAGCGGCAAGCAGAGGCGCCGTAGGTGTGGTTGGAGAGCAGACAGCGGGTCGGAGTCGCTTTAGTCCTGAGGCCCTCAGCTCGAAGGCCGAGAGAACTTTGCAGGAGCCCGGTCGCGCCGGTAACGGCTAGCGGCGGCTAACGGCTGACGGCTCGCGCTTTGCGGCTGGAGCCTTTGCAGGAGCACCAGAGGCTTCAGGCCAGCGTGGAGGAGCCCAGTCGGCCGAGAGCCGGCGTTTCGGGACCCTTCGGGACTGTCTGAAGGAGCGCGCGGAAGCTGAGCGAAGAGATCTCCAAACTTGGAGAGCAGCTCGCAGTGCATGTGGCGTTTCAGGCCGCGCCCTGTATGGCTAGTTTTTGAATCGCAGGTAGAGCTGGATGTCTTGAAGAAGAAGAGTTTGGAGGCCCGGGGCCGGGATGTGATGATGCGGATGCCTTAGTTGCGAACTTGTTTCAGGCTGAGGAGTTTCAGAAAGAGCTCAAGAAACTGAAGGCCGCGGCATGCCGCGCTGGTGCTATTTCCCGCCGCTTCTCGCTTCAGATTCAGTTCTTTCAGGAAGCTCTCGAGCTGCTGCCCAGCGACTTGGGCGGAGGATTCAAGAAGCTGGAGAAGAGGCCCTCCCACCCANNCCCCCCCCCCCCCCCCCCCCCAACGCGCGCGCGCTCGCGCCTCACCGCCTTTTCCGAGGTGTGGGAGCCTGGAGACCGAGCTGCACCAGGCAGAGGGAGAGAGAAGAAGTGGCCTTTTGAAGTTTTTCTCTCCCTCTCTCTCCCCGTCTGCGACTCAGAGAGGCACTGGAGGCGGCCCGGCGCGAAGCGCAGGAGCGCGCCGCCCGCCTGGAGGAGGCCACGAAGCGGCTCGAGGCGCGGGCATCTTCCCTTCGCTGTCTGTGTGTTCTCGCGCGGTCGCCGCGGCGTCGTTTTTTTTCTCTCTGCAGGAGCGGCTGCAAGCGGAAGAGGACGCTTCTGCCTTCGACTGCGGCTGCAACCGCCACCCCCCAGTGTCATATGGTCCCATGTCGCTCGAAGCCTTTCGAGAGGACTTCAGGACGAAGTCGCCCGGAGCAAGATTATAAGCTGCTGAGTTGTTGCACTCTGTCATGGCGGTGCGTTCTGCAACAGTGCTTCGCCTGCGTGTGCCAGGCTGAAACAGGCCATGAAGTGAGGCGACGCCGCGGTGTCCTGCTGAAGAGGCCAAAGAGCCTTCACCTCTTCGCCACTGGGCTCTGTGGTGTCTTTGCTGCAGCTGCATGTTGGCGTGTAGCCGGTGTGCTCTGTCGCTCAAAGAGTGCCGCTCAAAGCAAGCGGACCTGTTTCATGCGCGCGTGTCTGCTCAATGCCGGCAGCCGTTGCATGAGACTACAGCGTCGAATGCCCCAGACCAGACTCGAAGATTCTCGCAAATCCACTCCTCTCGAATGGGCGTGCTCGGCGTGCTCGGGCGGAACTGAAGGCCGTTGGTGTACCTGTCGTGCTTGTTCGTATGCATTTTGCCTCAAGAGCTTGGACAACAGCCACGGGACAACCCAAAAAACACAAAACAACCTAAGGCTAGCCGAGGTGTCTGAGGTCACCTGTAAGCCAGGATACAGCAGCACGGAGCCGTGTAAAGCCGCATGCAGTTCCGCTATGAAGAAGAATGTCGGTGTGGAGAAATGGAAGAAGGCTGTCCGGCAGAACAAGCTGCAGACTTGTAGACAGAACCGTCCAGGACCCTGAGCTGCGTGTGGCTCTGGCTCGCCGGAACCTAGCATTTCTCTCTCGTGAGCTTCAGGCGAAGCGACTGCAAGGGGGCGTCGTTGAGGGGCTGCTCGTGTCAGAAAATGTTACTGGTACCACAGGAGTTCATCGCCGACGGCTTTGCGCGAGAGCAGAGGACGAGGAGCCTCGTGTCTCTGGGACCTTTGCGCCGCCTTGGTTCTCTGGTCTTGAGAGCAGAGGCTCGACGACACCCTGAATGCCCTGAAACCGTCGAGGGCCGACGAGGAAGAGGGGAAGGAAGAGGGTTGGGGGGGGCACCGGGAGCGGCACAGTTCGCCTCCCGGCCGGAGGCAACGCGACAGAACCTGCTGCTGGCCATCCGCAAGGCACAGCGGAGGAACGCCTCTGCCACCGCCGCCCCAAAGCGCCTGAGCGCCTGGTGAGGAGCTGCCATGCCTACCAGCTAAGCAGGCGGAGGAGCATCTGTGGCGAGCCTTCCGGCACAAGGCGCCACTCCACTCCTTGCCCTTGCGCTGTCTGCTTCTTGGCTTCGCAGGTCAACTCCTTGCGCTGTCTGGGCCGGAAGGCTGTGCTGCTGGCGCTTCAGGCGGGTCTCAGCCCAGAGGGCCCTGAGGGCCCTGAGGGCCAAGGCGGCGAAGCGCCCCAAGAATTCAAGCGCCGTCGCACGGACACGCCGGCGAAAGGGGAGCGGCCAGGATAAAACACTGCATTTCCCTGTACGTCGATATGCGTTCTGAAACCTGCGGGTCGAGAGCTTGGCTCACAGGCCCATGAATGCCGGCATGTCACATGCGTTCTAGTCATCTAGTCTCGAAGCAAGATGCGAGCCGTAAGATCTGGGGCGCTAGCACCGTGACACAGTGACAGCGACTCAGAAAAGACAAGCAGATGCTCTCTTGGCCGGTGTAAGCTGGAGCTGGCGGCCATGGTGCCGAGGAGCCGCCTCTGGAAAGGCTGCGCTCTGGCGCTGGCCCTCCTGGCGGCGCTGAGGCGCCTTCCGTGCTGGGAGGCCTTCGCCTTGTCCTGGGAGAGTTTTCTGGGAGAGTCCTGGCCAGGTCTTTCTTCGCGCCCTGCTTCTCCCAGGCAGCCGCCACAGCCGGAGCCCCCAAGCAACTCGGAGCTTCTGGCTCAAGCCGCGCCTCTGCCTAGGAGAGGAAAGGAAAGGATGACGCCAAGCCCTGAGATGCAGAACCTGGTGCTTGGACCTAGTTTCCAGTTTTGAGTGCAGACGCTTGGTCAGTTGCGCGAGCATCGCAGCCACCTTGCCAAGCACAAGCTGTCAGACGCGCCTGAGACGGTGATAAGACACACGCAGCCAGATTTGGTGAAGTCCAAGCCTCCAAGCCGTCAGAAATTCAGAGACGCCAAGCATGTCTGGCTATGGAGCGGCACCCAGACCACCGGGGGCAGCGAGCTCAGAATGGCCCAGAGCTGCTCAGAGCTGCATATCAGTGCTCTGGGAGGCCGCCGCACAAGTTGCCCCCTACCCTCCAGGTGCAGTGCCAGGCAAGGCGCGAAGTGTGGCGTTGAAAATATCTGGGGGGGGAAGGTATGAGGTGTGGGCAACTTGCAGTAACTTGCAGGTGCGGGCGCGGGCTTCGCGGCTCCCACCATTCCCGGCCTGGCCTTTCCAGTCTGGCCGGGAGCACTTCCTGGGCAACCTCTCGGGCTTGCGCAGCCTGGGCAGCTGCTGACCATGCCGACAATGCCGACGGTGCCGCTCCAACAGGCGAGCTTGCCCCTGGCTGCGGCACAGCCCCTTGCAGCTCCCGCGAACGACGGCGCCAGCCCTAGAGTCTAGAGTTTCGCAAGAACTTCGGCGCACAGTGTCACGCACATGACAATGGTGGGACGCCGTTGACGCACCGAGGTGGCTGGACTGCGGCGGTGGCGGAAGCAGCTGCGGCACTGAACCAGCTGGGCTACGGAGCCGGCCCAGCCGCCACTGCGCCGCCGGCACCAGCAGCGCCAGCAGCAGGCGACCCCGCCTTGGCTTCGGCCCTTGCAAGCCTTGGCTTGATGCCCGGCTCACTGGCCAACATCCCTGGACTCGAGAGCCTGGCAAATGTGCCGGGCCTTGAATCTTTGTTGGGGCTACCCCAGGCAGTTGGCTCAACCGGAGTCGGCATCGTGCCTTCTCGTTCGAGAGTCAAGGGCAAAGGCTTCCCTCCCAAAGGCGGTAAGGGAACGCCCAAAGGCAAGCCGTCCTTGCAGGCCAGAACTCCACTTTTCTCTTGCTATTTTTGCTCGGACGCCTTTTGCTCTTCCTCCCTTGAATCGCAACAGGACCTGCCCGTCCTCACAAGCCAGGAAGTGCAGGCTGAGAGAGTCTCTGCCCTGCTGGTGCTCCTCCTGCGAACCTCACAAGCCAGGAGCCGCAAGTCTTCGTCACTGCGGCGGGGCAGAAGAACGAAAAGAAGTGCAGAGCGCTGCTGGCGCACAAGGAGCCCGCAAGTGGCCACCACAGTTCTAGGGCCAGGGCACACTTCGCAGTGCCGAGCGCAGGACTTCAATAGAATGGATGACAAGGCCCTGCACCGCTAGTCTGCCAGCTTCCACCACATTGTGTGCCGTGCAGGATTCCGAGCAGAGAACCGCAGTGCACATCTGCATCTTGAAAAAGATGCCGGAGGAGTTCGCAGTTGCTGTTACAGGGCAGCTTGTGTGACACGTTCGCTTGTCCTCAGAGCTTTCTGCCAAGTGTGAGGGGAGGCCAGGCTTCTCACAGCGTGGCTTCGGGTTTGGTGCCAAAGCATCAGAGTTCGCTTCGCCTCGCTTCGCATCGCTTCGGTGGTGCTTGCTATTGCTTGCTGTTGCTTGCTATCGCTTGCTATTGCTTGCTTGTGTGGTGCGAAATTTCCGCAGCCAGGGAGAGCCGTGACTTCCAGCGACCGCGTCTGCCCTTCCAAATTTCAGAGGGCTCTGACGCCTTAAGACGCTCTCTTCTGACGCTCTCTTCTGGGCTCGGGAGCCGCTTGGAGCCTCTGACGTCTCGACAGGTGTTTTGATGCCAAGGGAGCGCCCGGCCCTAGGGCTCCTCCTTGGCTTGGGGACGGCCCTGCATGTTGGAAATCTTTGCAAATGAAATGGCACGCTTATTAAGAGGCCCAGGCTCAGGCTCCGTATTGAGAGGCTCAGCTTGTTGAGGCACGCCCCCGGTTTTGCCAGGGCGAAGACCTGAGGTCTGGCCTTCACGTTGACGCACGCTTCAGAGCCCTGCACGACGGGGGGCCTGTCGTTGCCCTCCGGCCCTGAGCACATCCGGGCACGTCGGGGGGGGAAGTCCAGGTCCAGGGCGGGCCACGGGGTTCGCTCAAGAGCGTTGTGTGCTGCCGCCAGGATATTTGCCTGAGCATCTTGAATCGCGATGACTTCACGGAAGTCAATGCGGTGGATCAGGCTCAGCAGAGAGCGGAGAGCATCGGAGCCGGGGGGGGGGGGAATGGCATATGGCACATGGCATGGCATGTGTTGGCCATGGCAGTTCGGCTACACGATCCTGTCCCTGGCGGCTTCGAACGGCATGGTCAGCGTGTGCAAAGCTGTCCTGGAGCATCCGGAGTTCACGCAAGTCAACTCCAAGGCTCTGAGTCGAGCTGAGTCGGAGCGGCTGAGGCGATAAATAGGCTGCTCACGCCTCTTCTTGCAGGACAAGTGGGGGGCGACCGCGCTGCACTGGGCAGCGGCGTCGAACCTGGGTGCGCTTCTCACGAAGTTCGTTTTACCAAGCAGCACCCCAAGCTCCGACAAGCTCTCCGAAGCTCCGCTCTGCGGCAAGGTGCCGTGTGCAGCGCCATCCTGGAGCACCCGGCCTTCGTGGAGGCTTTTGGGGGTGAAAAGGGCCAGCGGGCCAGGAAGCTCTCAGCGCGGGGCCCCTGCAAGAGTTTATTTTCCGGGAGGCTCACGTGGTGGCCTTCAGCTTCAAGTTCGAGAACCAGACAGCGCTGCAGGTCGCCGAGGAGCCGGGCTGTGGCAGTGCACCTGCCAGTCACCCTGAAATGGACTGAAAGTTGCATTCTTCAAGGCATCTGTTTTCAGCATGCCCCATTTTTTCGCCGCTGATGTTGCTGCGACGTCACTATGTGGGAGGGCTGAGGGCAGCGCAGGTCTCCCTGAAGATTGTTGCTGCTGCTGCTGGTGTCCCCTTGTCCTCCTTTCTTGTGTCTCCAGGAGAGAGGTTGCTCGGATGCAGAGCAGGCCGAATGCAAGTTGGAGCGGATCGCACAGACCTAGCTGCTAGCTTTGCCAGGCGATCAAGAAAGCCTTGACTGGCTAGCGCGGCTGGCGGGTGAGCGTGCGTGAGGGGTGGCCGGGCTCGCTACTACACAGCACAGGCATCCGGAGAAGCAAACTGGTCCAGCAGGCGAGTAGCAAACAAGCAAGACGTCTTTAAAGAATCAGGAAAAGAAGAGAGACAGACAGCGTCCAGCATGCTCTCATCGTCACAGCGGCGCTAGCCGGCTCGAAAAGTCTGTGCGTCTTCTGAAGCATCTTCTAACTTTCTTCAAAGCCTCCCTACAACTCTCCGCCTCCGTCCCGAGTTGCTGACCACAGCGGAGCTCCTCCGCGCTGCGAAGCGTCTCAACGTGGAGCTCCGCGAGAATGTCGCGGGCCCCTGGTGCGAGGCTCAGGTGACAAGTCGCATCCCGCCACCGGCATCATCCGAATCATCCTCATCAGATCACTGGCAGCTGGTATGGTTCACCATCCACACACCTATCCAGGCATCCATCCACTCCCCAGCAAGAACACAGAAGCAGTCAGAGACGGAGCTGTGAATGCGAGGTACCAGATCGAGCTTTGGAGCGGTGACCGCCAGCTGGGCAAAACCAGCGGCTGGGCGCAGCCCTGGGCAGCAGCCCTGGAAAGAGCAGAGAGACAGAGGAGACAGTGTCAGGTTGATGAGGCCTCGATGAGGATGGTGGGCCCTTGTAAGACCAGATGAAACGCAGCAGAGCGAGCAGAGCCACACGCCCAATTTCATTGACAGAGAGATGGATTGGCCCCGGGCCCTGCGACAGATCGGAACGGTTCCAGCTTCTGCTGAACAGGGAAGCCTGCACTTGGAGACCATCGAGGCCCGGCTGTCACCGTGCAATCGCATGCAAGTAAAATCCAGGCCCGACTGGAGCACTAAAGATGAAGAAACCGTGGAAGAAATCAGTGCCTATGTAGACTGCCGGCTGTTTTTTCAAGGGCCCAGCCTCCTCGGCAGGTGCGGAAGTTCACCGGCTACTGGGTCGCCAAGCCGGCCAGGCCAGGGCTGCGAAGTTCGGCGAGCTCGAGCTCTTGGGCTTTTGGGGCTCTTTGGTCAGGGGAGGCGAAGGCGGCGAAGGCGGCGAAGGCTCGGTGAGCCCAGAGGATCAGGCAGCGATGGAGGCCGAGGCCCGGACAAAAAAACCCGAGACAGAGAGAGCCCCTTTTTTCCTCTTGCGGCGCACTTTGGCAAGAGGAGAAGAAGCGCTATGCCGACGTGGCCAAGGCACACCGGACCGGGACAAATTTGCTCTCGCACCAAAAGGCCCTCACTGAGACAGGTCGCACGCTGGTTTGGCTTGCTGCTTTCAATGGCCATCGCCTGCCGCGCCCTGGTCTGTGGGGGGGAGCATTATCTTCTCGTCTCGTCAGAGGGGGGCTGAAGGCTGGAACAGGGAGAGATCGCCTTTCTTCTGCAAGGAGGCGGATAGCTGGTTCGGATCTTGGCCTGAAAAAGGCGGTTGCCTTCCTGCTTGCCTTCCTGCAGGCGTTTCTTCTCGCCATCTATGATGAAGACAAACAGCATGAACGCCTTGTCCGGTACTACAAAGGCGCCGTGAAGCCCTGAAAATGGCTTCTGACCTTCCAGCATTGAAGGTCTCGGCTTCAAGGTGATCAAGGATGCAGAGAGTATCGAGTACCAGGACCAGGCGCAGAGCTGCAGACAGCCTTTGCAACATGGAGATCATTGGACAAAAGAGGAACTGGAGACCTGAGCCGCTACGAAGCAGGGCATTTAGACCCTTCCAAGACGCATAGATTCTGGCATAGATCGGCCAAGGGCGGACCAGCCCTGTTCCTTTCCTTCCCTTTGCACCCCCCGCGTGCGGCCTTCCATGGCAGCGCGAACCGGCGGGCGCCCTTTCAAGGCCAAGGCCAGGCTCCGGCACAGAGACGTCGCAGAGTCGGAGTGCCTTTTTCGTGGCGCGCAGTGCTTTGCCAGGCTTTTTGGGGGGGCCTGGTGCTGCTGGGATTTCTCAGTCAGTCAAGAGGCTTCCTAAGCCTTGAGCTTAGCCTACGGCATTCTCCGGCACGGCAGTCGGGTTAGGCTGTGCCATGGCAAGGCGCACCGAGGCCTCGCCGGAGTTGGATTGCAGCACGGCGCCCAACTGATGTCCAAAGAATCCGAGAATAGTCCAGAGCGAGAGCCAGAGGTGCAGCCACTGCTGGCCTCCCTGTTCCCACAGCCGGGAAGAGCAGGAACTGGTACCATTTTGCTTTACCTGCGTACTGAATCCCTGCATGATGCCCTCTGGCAGGTGAGGCACCGGCGCCTTCAGCGTCTCGAGTGGTTCGCCCCGAGACAGACTCGAGCTCAACAATGGGGGAGTGGTGCGAGTGCTGGCGGGCAGAACGGTTGCAGAGCTCCGGACGCCCAGGGGCTTCCGCTATACGCATACGACCTGCCGGACAAAATCGGCTTCGAGGACGAAGAAAGATCACAGGTCAAGCCAAAATGCCTCCAGACCCAGGAGCGCAACCGTGCCGCCTATGCCCGGGATCCCGGGCTGGGGTCCAAGAGAGGGCAACTAGACGCTCTCCTTTACCATCCCTCTCTGACTCTCCCCCCCTCTCCCTCCCTCCTCCCCCTCCCCTCTCCTTGTATTCTAAAATCCTAGACGCCCCCACAAGGTCGGGACTTACAGTCAGGTCATGCACCTGCAGCAATGGCATAACACTTGCGTGTGTGCGCCGTAACGGTTTCTGTCTCAAGTGGTTTCAAGACACTAGCTCTCTCGGCGTGTAGCAAAACCAACTGTGTTGTCCGCGTGCAAGGGCAAGCCTTTAGATCCTCAGGCCATACCTGCACCCATATCCTTCCACCGCAGGGGAGATATTTGGGGGCACCCCTCACGCGACCCACCCCTCCCCCCCGCTCCTTCTTGTGACCGCACCTCGTGTTGCTGAACACCAGACATCCTCCTGCAACATGTTATGCAATAAGCAACAATGACGTAAATAGCAGGGTTTTGGGTTGGTTTGTGTAACATGGTCGCCCCTCCCCCTCCCCCCACCCCACACACCCCCCCCCTTCTCCAGATAGGGAAAGCGAAGAAAAACACACGAGCAAACACCAACGTCTTTGGACTTAGGAGTTTTGTAAGGTTCCACGTTCGTGCAGGCAGTTTTCCTGTACAGAATGCCATGAACTCACCGAAACCCATCGGTTCTGTGATAACTGATCTGCCTCGAGGCTCCGGCCGGGGCTGCAGCGTCCCCCACGTGTTCTAAACCCAAGAAGGAGCAGGCCTGGCGCAGAATGCCTCTCATCGCCCTAATGTTGAAAGTTGGTTTTCAAGCTCAAGTGCGGTTCTTTTGGGCAGACACGGTGCTATTGTGGCTCAAGCTGTAGGCATTGCAAAGACCATGCTCCATAAAAGCCTGTTTAGCCATCACGCATTCAATGAAACTTGACTCTTTTACGGGAAACATTCCAAATTCGGCAACTCGTTGTACAGAATAACGGGCCGCAAAGTCGCAAGAAGGGATGAAAGGATTATGTATCCGAAGCCGTGCGGCTGGGTTTCATTCGGAGATTCTTTCGTGCCAAATTGCACCATACGAAGGCCACGTTCTGATGGCAAGGCCTCAAGGTTAACTGCGTAACTCCTACATTCCTACATCCCCATCAGCCAGTCGATGTTGCATACAGCAAGTATCAGCGCAGGCCAACAGCGCAACAGGAAATCTGTTCCGACCTTTGTGCCACTTGGCAGGCAGGCAATATTCCACGGGGGTTGAAGGCATCGCGTCCTTTACCCGCATATATCCGAACTCGCAATGCGCCGTCCTCCGATCCAAGCTGTTGCCACGGCAGACTACATGATGACAAAAGTGCGGGAAAGTGAATGAAGACCATATCGGGCCGGGCACTGATCTTCGCATGCTATACCCAGATTCGACATCAACTGGGGCCAGCCTCCTGTTCGTGAGCAGACTGGGCACCAATGCGTGTTCAAGGGGTTAGGAAAGGCTCGAACGGGTTATTTGCTTTATCAATCTCCACTGGCGCCAGCAACGCAGCCCTCAATTTTGCTTGCGGGGGAACTAGCCCTCGAACCAACCTTTCCTTCGAAAACTGAAATCTCAACTGTTAGTTGCAGGATGCTGCAGGACTTGGTTGCCAGCTTCGAAGCTTTGGCGAGATGCTGAAGGAAAAGAACGAGCCCAGCCTGAGGCCTAAGGACTGCTACCAGCTATCGGCTCAGGAGCAACGATTCAAGGTGGTACAACCGAAACAACCATGTCAGGATTCAAAGTCACGCGCACAACGGAACAGCACAAAGAAAGCGTCATGCGTAAAGGGATGAACTATCTGGCTCGCGGTAGCCAGAGACAGCAAACACAGAAACAATTGATGACACAACATTCACACCAACTCCGAAAGCTTCATCACTACCCTCGTCATCACCGCATACTGTAGCAGCATGACATAGCAGACATAGCACTACTTAAAACGCCTCTATCACAACCTCCTCCAACATTACGCCCACTGCCACTAGCAACCACGACCATCACCGGACGACGATCACGACCACGACTACGACACCGCCCCCGGCGCGGCCCCTTTGCTGATCCTGACCTTGCTGCAACCCCGAAAGTACGCACAAGCCACAAACCTGACGACGGCAATGGTGACGATGACCGCGAGTTCGACAGCAACCGCTGGTCAAGCATTCATTACAGCAGTTATAACATAGGGTCCCTGGGTGTAATTTATAACAATGTAGTATGCTTATGACAAAGAACCCTAAGGAATGATGTTGCTAATTATGTAATTAGGCCCCCGGAGGGCCAAGCGCTTGCAATAACGGCAGCGACGACCACCGACACTAACAAGGAAGACCGCGATTCAGCTTCGGGTTCCGGGGTTTGGGGGCTCAGGGTTTGTACAACGGTTCTATTATGTTAACGGATGTTAGAGTGGTGAGAAGCTTGAGGGTTTAGGTTTCGGCATTCTGGCTCAACCCGTAGCGCCTGAACTGACCAGCTGCCGTGCTGAACAAAAACGCTGCAGAGTATGCGGGGATGTGCCAACTGCGGGGGCCTGGGGTGACCTCAATAAAGACACGACCACTACGACCAGCACCACCAGGAGACCACCAGGAAGCTCTAAGAAACCATAAGTCAACAAGTCAAGCGGAGATCCAAGACAGAGCAGTTCAGGGCTTCACAGCAACACACAAATGGCGGAAGCCCATTCCACCCTAACCCTTAACCCTAAGCCCAAAGCCCATTCCACCCTAACCCTTAACCCTAAATCCTAAGCCCATTCCACCCTAACCCTTAACCCTAAACCCTAAACCCTTAGGTCATTCCACCGTAGCCTTAACCCTAAACCTCAAGCCCTAAGCCCATTCCACCCTAACCTTAACCCTAAACCTTAAGCCCCAAGCAATTCCACCCGAAGCCTTATCCCTAAACCCTAAACCGTATAAGCCTTAACCCTAAACTCCTAAACCCCTGAACCCCTACACCCTAAACCCTAAACCCTAAGCCCATCCCACCCCAAGCACCCAAATCCTCAATCCCCAAAGCCCTACGATCCTCATTCCGGGGCTTAAGGGCTCTTGTTCCTTTTGGTGGCTTACCCAACTAGTTTAGGGTTTAGGGTTTAGGGTTTTAGGGTTTAAGGTTTAGGGTTTAGGGTTTAGGGTTTAGGGTATATAGGGGCCTCTTAATACTTAGAAGAGGGCCCATAATACTATACTTCTAGTAAGGAACCCCCCAATACAGTACAGGCAATTCTTTAAGCCCCGTACTTAGGATCCTGTAGGGCACCCCCCCAAAAAAGGAAGTAGAATGAGGTAAACTCAGAATCGACTGTTAACCCTAAACCCTAAACCCTATAAGCCTTAACCCTAAACCCTAAGCCCTAAACCCTAAACCCTATAAGCCTTAACCCTAACCCTAAACCCTAAACCCCTTGACCCTAGGCCCTAGGCCCTGGACAGGAACTCCGAGCTCGAGTCCTGGCTGCGACTCCTGAGCGGCGCCTCACCAGAGATGAGATGAGGGCTCAGTTGCTTTATAGGGGTTTAGTTTTTTTTTTATTATTGGGTTTAGGGGTTTAGGGTTTAGGGTTAGAATAAGCTTGTGATCTGTAGAGGGTTTCCGATGGTAGGGCTCAGGGGTGTTTTGCAAGTTTGGGCTTTCTATGTTGCTGGCTAGAGAGGCAGAGGGATGCGATCTAGGCTACTTCTGCGATCTGGAGACCGACGACTTACTTCCCAGGCTTTCCGGAGATATGGATCGGCGGGTTGAGGGCATACAGGGTTTGTAGCCCTTAAACTGCTTGTTGGACCTGTAGAGCTATAGCTACAACCCTAAACCCTAAACCCCAAACCCTAAACCCTAAACCCACAAAATAAGTCCCAAAAGGTGTAGCTCCGCTCTTCAGCCTCATTTGCTGAAGCTGTCGCAGAGCAGTCGATCTTTAGAATCTCAAACAGTCGAAGGCCTCAATCGTGCATCACTCCTGCTCGTGCTTGAGGGATCATGGGACATAGTAATTTGGGCTGGAAGTATGGTGCGACCGTTTTCATAGTAGCTACGGATATACCTGCTTACGAATCAAGGTGCTTGTAACCTTACTTACCACGTGCATTGATCCCCCACGGCCGTGCGGAGCGTAACAGACAAGTAGTTCACATGCCTGACTTCAGTAAGTACAGCACGTACATCAGTGCACACAAGTGTTTGAGACCTTAGACTC